ATTATAGTTGGAAGGGACCCTGAGGGCCATCTAGTCCAACCCCCTGCAGTGCAGGAATCTCAGCGAAAGCATCCATGACAGGTGGCCATCCAACCTCTGCTTAAAAACCTCCAAGGAAGGAGAGTCCATAACCACCTGAGGAAGTCCATTCCACTGTCAAAACAGCTCTTACTTTCAGAAATTTCTTCCGGATGTTTAGTCAGAATCTCCTTCCGTGTAACTTGAACCCAATGGCCTACCCCCCAGAGCAGGAGAACTCAAGCTTGCTCCATCTTCCATGTGATAGCCCTTTAGATATTTGAAGATGGCTCCTATACATAATAATGGCTTACACCATTGCCAGACTTCAACAATATCTTAATAGACATTCTAGTCTGTGTTCTGCTCATTTTAATGGGCTGCACTTTTTGCAGCTGTTTTTAAATTTCTTGTGAAGTTGATGGGGTATTTTATTGGTGTAAATCAAGAACGGGAAAATTCCAAGTCTCTGGGCCAAATGCAGCCCTCCAGGCCTCTCCTTCTGGCCCTCAGGAATCTCCCTAGTCACATCCCTCAAGAGCCCTGCTTTGCAATGTCCTTAACTGTTTTTGCCTGGCTACAATCCTGCCCTTCATCTGATAGTGCTTTTTGCTTGCCTCTATGGAGGGTAGAGAGGGGTGTGTGAGTGTGCACATAGAAACCTTTGCTTCTGGTCTCACCCACCACTGGCATGTGTCCCTCAGAACACAAGGCAGCCCTCAGGGTGATAATGGTTCTCCATCACCATCTTGTGAGGGCACTGCATCCTGAATGGCAGGCTAGAAATCCTTTACATAAATGAACAGTTTGTTCTAGCCATAGCGTATTTCACTTCTGCCAACTTGCTTTCAAATAGCTGTGGAATTAAACCATTATGTTTGAAAGCGAGCTGGGAGTTAGCCAGTGTGGAAAAGTAAAGGACTCTAGTGCTTAAGTTGCAACTAGAGTAAACTATTGCATTTTTACAGCATTGGTGCAAACGTACTCCCAGATGCATAAGTGATAGGTATTCTCACTGTGAGAATACCCACTGTTACTGCGGTTTAGTACCTTAACTGAGTAAGCAATTGAGATGCAAAAGAGGTAGGAAACTGGAGATTTTGAGCATCCAGGTCACCAGTTTTCTTCATCCCTTCCTTAAAACATTGTTGGCTCTTGTAACAGAGGATCTGGGAACAAATAGCTGGACGGATGACAGAGCAACTGTGAAATCCCCCCAGAATATTGAAAACAAGTGTTTAATGGGCCTCCAGAGCTTAGATTAGGAATATTTTACTGCTGCATCCATTATCTCTTTTACATTTTTACATTTTCCATTTTCCACATCTTTTACATTTTCCTCTAAAATAATCCAACACAAATAACAATAACAAAATATTAAAATATTAGCACAATTAAATATTAACGTAATTAAACACAACATAATAGCAATAATGCAACAGGGTGCTATTGGGATAAAATACCAAAGATACAGGCTCTAAAAACAGTGAGATCATATTTAACATTTTTAAAATTAATATTTCATTAATAGCTAGGTCAGTGATACAGAGGAGGGAGAAATTAAATACTGTACAGTTTTTTTTAAAGCCAAGTCTATCAAATTCTCACTTTCTGAAACAATATAACAACTGAAACACTGCCATTTTTCAAAATTTAATCTCATCTGAATATTGTAATGTAGTTCTACAACCAATGCTTATAAAAGTGCAGACATGAAGTGGAAATGAATATGCAAGTGGAAATAGCATACTAAAATGCATTATTTCAGGAGAAACTGCATACAAAATTAGACTTATTAGGGTAAATTTGCACCAAAGAGTTGAAGAATTTCTATTAGGATTTCTTGGGGGGGGGGCGGGGAATCACTAAAGGCTGCGGAATTGTGGGGAGATAATTTAAGACTGGAAGAATGAGAAACTAGGATAACTGAAACTGACAAATCTTTCCACCCCTAGTGAGGGAAAGCTTTCATAATTACTTTATCACTACATAGCAGCAACTTGTCTACAAAGAAAAACAAACATTTCATTACAGAGGAAGGTATATTAATACTGTGAGAAATGGCACCAACCTAAAAGTGATTTTGGCACTCAAGCACTGCTGCCTTTTCAGAATTTCTTGGGCGTTTTGAGTATCTGCCTTGGTAACTAAGTGTAACATTGTCCAAATCTCAGCCTGTTACTGATCTATTGAAAGACCTTCACAAGAAAGTTAGTTTCCCTTCCAGTCAACAAAAGGACTGCTGTGTTCATCACCGGGATTGAAAAGCACATGGAGAATCCCTCACATGTTCTCCTCTATAGTCAGGTCAGTCTGCAAGTGATGAGCAAAAACAGGGTGAGAGGCACAGGCAATGGCACTTCTCTCTGGATGGTTTTTCTACTCTCTCATTATTTTGGAAGGGACATATTTTATATACTAAAATGTTTATAGCCTTCAATCAATCTGGTTCTATTAGGCCTTATAAAACCATAGCCAGAAGACAGCCCTGCTTGGCTGAGGGTCTGTTCCCTTTTCTCCCCAGTGCTGCCCACTGGAATTTAAACTATTGTTGGCCTTAGGCAGCATTGCCCACTTCAGATCTCTGGCTTCTGCTCATAGCATTTGACCTAACTCTGTCCTAGACTGCACTGCTGATTTCCAGCCCAGTCTCTGCCTGGCAACTCCACCCCCCCACCCCCCTGTACACCAAAGCAGAGATTGAGAACTTGTGGTTTTCTAGAGGGAATTGGAATCCAACAACAATCATCCCTGACCATTGACCATGCTGGCTGAGGATTATCCAGAATGGATTCCAACGATGTCTGTAGGGCCATCAGTTCCTTATCTCCACCCTAAATTATGTCTGGAGCCCAATTTAAAAAAATAATAATCAGTGGACTCAGTAATGCAGGCCAGGTCTCTGGCCTAACATCTGGTGATTCTCCATTGCAGCTCTAGACTAGATTGGCAGTTTCATGAGCCACCCTGTTCACCCAGCAGTGGTTGAGGTGTATTTTCTCACCCAAAATGACAACTTCGTGGGTGAGGTTCTATAATAAATCTTGGCACCATGTATCATGCAGCAAACATTAACCAGGGATTTAGGAATACTGTGTGTTGATACCACCATGTGGTCAATGTGTGTATTGCACTTTAAAACTTTATGCATGCCTTCAAACAAGCCTGCAAGCTTTGCTGTAGCTCCATCTGCATTTAATAAAACACTTTCAGCTATTTGCATAGTCCACATGATATTACCCACAAACAACACCAGTCTCAAAGCTCTCCACCTGTAGATTTGTGTTAATCCAACATGTGGACAATCCGAGAAACTAGGCTTCAAACTGCTCCACTTAAGTTTGCAGACAAATTGTTTTGATGTTAGGTGAGGGTGGATCAACTGTCATTTTCTGCTATTCCCCTTTCCACACCCACTACTTCCTCAATGCTTTCATTTCTTTTCCGGCAGTGTTATTTCCAGTGTGCTCCTGCGCAATACCAGAAGATTGCACAAACAATTTTACAATTGCCTGTGCCCCGTTCCACACTTCCTGGGTGGGATTTAAACAAAGAAACAGAAATAAAAAACAACAACAAGGCAGCACACATAGTTATCTGTGTGCATGCCCTGTTGCTACTTAATTGGCAAAGTACAGTATAATTAACAAATTAGGACCTATGGGGAAAACACAAAAGCGGATTGCTGTGGGCATGAACCAGAAAGGCCAAAGTTGCTCCCTGTACACATTCAAATGTGTGCAGGTCTAATTCAAATGGGGCAAGAAAAGCGGACAAGGCCAAATGTGGAAACAAGCCCTATTTGGGGAGGAAATCGGCTCTGCTTGTGTACCTTTTGATGCTTTGTTTATTGTTTATTGCTACTACTTATTACTACTTTATTACTACGGTACTTTCACTCTGGAAAGGCGACACACAAATAAAATGATTGATTGCAAAAAGTGGTATGCAGTCAGTGTATGCTGCATGACTATAGGGACAATGAAATAGCAGCAGGTATAAAAAGGTATGCATTGTTCCAAACTATAGTCTCTAATCTACTAAAAGCTTCAAAAACACATTCCAAGTGGCAGTTTGATTAGCAGAATTATCAATGGTGGTTTCCCTCACTCCCTCTCTACTAGATCACCCCATCCATATACTTCTCAAAGAACTCCAAAAGGTTAGACAGGACTTAGCTTTGCAGAAGCTATGCTGATCCTTCTTTAGCAAATATTGTCCTTCTATATCGGAGTGGGGGACCTCAGGCCCAGGGCCGAATGCAGCCCTCTAGGCCTTCACGACTCTCCCCAACCATGCTCCATTCCATACCCCACCTTTCTGTAGGCCTCCTCCACACCCTCAGCTGGTTTTGCCGGAACTGTGTCCTTGAATTTCGTTAATGCCTTTTGCTTGCCTTGATGGAGAATGGAGAGGGATGTATATGTCAACCTGTGGCTTCTGAATGGCTGGTATGTAGCCTATTGTACAAAGGGCAAGAGACACACCCATTGCTCTGCCCACTTTTGCCTCTTGCCCGCTGCTGGCATGTGGCTGCCAGGTTACCCCTGAGGGAATGTGGCCCCTGAGTTGAGAAAGGTTCCTCCCACTTGTTCTACATGCTTAGTAGCTTTCCCTTTATTCATGCATTCTATCAGTTTTCCTGGAAGAGACATTAAGCCAACTTAATCTAAAGTGATGAAGTAAGCAGAGTGAAAATTAGGCCCAGGAACTAAGCTTGTGGTAAGATTGCTCCTGCGTCAGCAATGAATATCAGCATCAGGTCTACAAAGTGATTCTGGCACTTGAGCCATGCTGCCTTTCCAGTATTTATCGAATGATCTGAGCATCTGTCTTGGAAAAAGAATGTCACCTTCTCTGACTCTCAGGCTGTTAATGATCTGTAGAAAAAGCTCCACTGTAGTATCCCATGGGTTTGGGAAGGGTGCGAGGAAACTTAGCAACAGGTCTGCCCTAAGATAAAGAAGCAGGAGAAGCCAGGAGAACTTCAATAGTTGTATTTATTTGTGAGCAAATATCCACATTTCAGCATAGCAGATACATAGGCACGACTATGTTCCCACTAGTTCCCACTCACCTATGGAGGGAACCATACTCATGAAGGCAGAGCAGTTTCTACTAGAGACTCAGTACATTCACCAAGGTAGTTTCTTGCCCTTCCAGTCAACTAAAGTGCCATTGTGCTCATCAACGAGGTTAGGAAGCACCTGGAGAATCCCTCGCACACTCTCATCAACAGTCATGACAGCCTGCAAGAGACAAACAGCAGTGAGGAGCACAGCCAATGGCTCTTCTTTGTGGACAGCTGGATTTATCCTCCTACATGTTGGGTGTGAAGGAATCATTCATTCATTCATTCATTCATTAAAAAATTTATAGTACCAGATTTTGCTCTCGGTTGTCTGACCCCAATGACCAATCTGGCTGTAAGAGGATAAGCAGCTAGTCTCACTGGAAAAGGCCCTGCCTGGCTGAGGGCCTGCTCACTCCCCACAAAGTGCTGACCTCTTGCCAGTCTTTGACAACGTTGCCCACTTTGAGTCCTTTGGGCGCACTTTTTCTGTGTCGAGAACTTGACCCTAACTCTACTCCCTTCAACCCTGAATCAGGGTTTAATGTTGAGTGTCTCTGAGTTTTGTACATAATACCCTGGATATATTTGATAATGTATGTATCATGATAAATGGTGCAGCTTTTATCATCGAACCTCACTCACAAGGTCTGTATGGGTGGAAAAATACACTTGTGGCTCCTGGACCACAGTGGAGAACAGAGCAGCCCATGAAAATTGCCAAATCTGGCCAACCTAGCCTACAGCAGGGATGGGGAACCACCAATCTGTGAGCCAGACCTAGTCTGCATTACCATTCCATCAGCCCACTGTCTCTTACCTTTGATCCTACCACATGTAAGCCCTTGACTTCACCTGCTTCTTCTGCCATGACAAACAAGCTCACACTTTCCTGCCTGCTGGTCTTTCTGCTCTGGAAAACAACCTATCTGCACTATTTCTCCTTTTCCTCCGTGAGGCGATGAAGAGAGAGACTGCCTGGCAGGTGCATACAGGAGCTCAGAGGTTCAACCATGGAATGTATCAGCTCAGCTAGAGGAGTCTCCTTGGCAGTGGCGTAGCGTGGGTTGTCAGCACCCGAGGCAAGGCAAGTAATTTGCGCCCCCTAACCCATGGATTTGCGCCCCCTAACCCGTGGATTTGCGCCCCCTAACCTGTGGATTTGCCCTAACCCCAGATGTTGCGCCCGGTGTGGCCGGCCCCCCCTGCACCCCCCCACGCTACGCCACTGCTCCTTGGAAAAGACCCTCTAGCTGCCATACTCCATGGTATGGCCTTTGAGCCATCTGCTACAGTATGAGTGTGCATGTGTGTGAGAGAGACACATTGACTAAAAAAAAAAGTTGAGTTTTGCCTCTGCTGGTTCCAGCCCTTAACCGGTTTGCATCAAGGGAATGCACTCTAAAAAGGGTTTTCTTCCCCCAGTGATCTAGACAACTGCCTCTCTTATGTGAAAGTAACACACTTTGTGCATGCTTCCTGGGAGTGGGGGTGTCTAACAATCTTCAGTAGTTTTGCTTATGTTATTTAACTATCTTTTAAAGGAGCTCCTCCCCAAAAATTGGCACCCACCTCCTGGGTGCCCATGTCTGTCTTCACCCACCCTGGGTGAACTGCAGTACACAAAATCCCATCCTCTTTGTAAGTCAGAGACTGGCACTTTGTCAGCATGTTGAGAGCAGCCTGAAAGGGAAAGAGAGAGAAAGTGGGTAGCGAACATCACCATGGAAAGGTTAAAGCCTCTTTTGTTGTGGAACATCAGCAGGGGCGCCTGGGCTTGCCACAGAGTCGTTCCCTCTGTGGGAAGCAGCTGCAAATCATACTTCCCTGATAATTCTGACTAGTATTTGCAAACCTGAGCTTCTTAAAATTCACATCTGTAGAATGTGATGTGGCCCAGTGTCCTATATTTGCAAAAGAAAACTAGGACCGTGAGCTCCCTTAGATACAGCCATTTGTTTAGATAGGGAGTGTGCCCAGTAGCAGGGCAGCCAACATATTACTTGGGTGCAAGAAATGTCACCTACCTTGCTGCAGCGGTAGGCAATTACAGGCTTGGAATAGGTTGCGGGGACTAACTCAATACAGCCTAATAGAGAGGAGATGTTGACAATGGCTGCCTTGCTGCAGCTCAGCCCTTTCTGTGAACTTCCTTGGGCTGCCTTCCTTAACAGAGGCAAAAAAGCCTGAGGAAAGAGAGGAGGAGAGAAAATAATTGAGGAAAACTCAGTACCCACTTCATTTGCCTTATGTATTTATTCTCGTGTAACAATCTACACTTGTATTATAAGTAATGACATTTTTACCCCATCCTCCCCCCAAAGAGTTCAAGCCATTGTTAATGATTCCTCCCCCATTTTGTTCTACCTCCTTCTTGTGCCCAGAAAAGATGGGACACTGTTGTCTAGACAGTGCACTATTCTGCCATTTTATTCCCAGCAACACTTCATCTTCACTCATTCAAATCCTGCATAAAACTCAGGTGACGCAAACTTCTCAGTTTGCACGACGTGTTACAACTGTGGACTCTGGAAAAGGGAGGCAGAGCACCTAAAGGCCAAGGAGCTTGATGCTAACTTTTTGTGTGGTTCAGCCAGCAGCAGTTCTCGTGCCACTGTGGCTCCAGCACATTTGACTTTTGTGAAGACTCCCTCATTAGGCAGTGGATTCAGTATGTCAGTGGTGGCCCCTCCTAGCAGAATTTTCAGGAAGCGTACATCTCTTTACATTCAGAAACAAGTCAAGAGTACTTTGATTACCCGGACATTCTACTGCCAACTTGAATGCTGCAGTTTGGTAGTTTTAGACCTCAGACTTAATGTAAGGGGAGCTCTTTCAATGGCAATGTGCATTACTGCACTTGCTTCAAAATATGGTAAGCCAGCCCCACTGCCTTTGGGGTCCCTGCTGTTCCTTCTGCTGTCTGGAGACCCAAAGCCTGACCCTGACAGCATCCCTGTTAGCACAGTTATGATGTTTGCATAGTGACAAATAAGTGCTATTGTGAATGGTCATTATGCTTATTTGACATATATTTAGGACAGGCTTGTCCAACTTCCAATAGACTTACTATAAAAAAATGGCGATGATCTACCCACTGGATTGACCAAAGTTGTTGAGCTTTTTGGGGGGTGGGGGGGTGGGAGGGGTCCCAAGATCTACCGCAATCTACCACAGGAGGCACCAGACGATCTACCAGTAGATTGCGATCTACCTGTTGGCCATCCCTGATTTAGGATATACCTAATTGATGTAGAGACACTGGTGGTGCTGTGGGTTAAATCACAGAGCTTAGGGCTTGCCCATCAGAAGGTTGGCATTTCAAATCCCCACGATGGGGTGAGCTCCCATTGCTCGGTCCCTGCTCCCACCAACCTAGCAGTTCGAAAGCACATCAAAGTGCAAGTAGATAAATAGGTACCACTCTGGCGGGAAGGTAAACAGTGTTTCCGTGCACAGCTCTGGTTCGCCAGAAGCGGCCTAGTCATGCTGGCCACATGACCCGGAAGCTGTACACCGGCTCCCTCAGCCAATAAAGCGAGATGAGCGCCGCAACCCCAGAGTCGGCCACAACTGGAACTAATGGTCAGGGGTCCCTTTACCTTTTAACTGATGTAGCGTGCATTTCTTACTTTTAGTGATCTTTTGACCCAACTGTTTACACTCCCCACACCCTTGGATATATTTATCTGCAAAGGGCACTTCATGCATCAGATGAAGTGAATCATTTGACTGCTCCGAACCTGGAATTTGCACCCCCCAAGCCCCTGTACCTTGCTCACTAGCAATGGCCCAGTCACATTGGTCTTGTATACATCTTCCATGTCTTCCTCGCTCACAGTGTCTAGCGTCATGCCTTTCAAAATGCCAGCATTGTTTATTAGCACATTCAGCCCTGTGTCTTTCAGGTGGTCCTCAACAAATGCTGCAGCTTCTGTAATGCTCGCAAGATTTGTAGCATCTGCAAAAGCAGAAACGAAAGAGATGGTTAGAAGCAGGAAGAGTTGGGGAGCACTGGGAGCAACTGTGACTGTCCTAACACCACCTACAAAATGCAGGGACAAAGTATGAACTTCAGCTACAGCAATACAAAAGAAAAAATGGTTCTCAAAGTGCTCCCAATAAGTTCATTGTAGTTGTTAATGCCCAACTTCAGGAGGTAATCGAAACTACACAGAATTATACATTAAAAAAAAATGGAAATGGCCTTTAAATATTTTAAAAACGCCTTAACAAACACATTTTAGAACAAGAGTGGCCCATGTGGTATTACAACAACACCTGGAGAGCCAACTCCCATCATCCCTGACAACTGGCTGTGCTTTGGGGGCTTATGGGAATTGAGAGTAACACAGTATTCAGAGGGCAACACATTGGAGACCCCTGCTTTAGAATAACCAACTAAACCTTACACCTCTATCTCTAATTCACATCTGTGCAACACAAAACCATTATTAGTATAAATCGAACCCATGAACATAAAGCACACAGTGTTAACGAACCCACTTATATTCAGAACTACAAATATGCTTTCAAGGAAAGCCAAAAAAGAAATGGTGGAGATGCAGACTTTTTGTTGGAACACAGCAGGAAAATACCATTGAGGCTTCTTTTTTGGCCAGATGCAGTTAAGAGACCAAATGACCTATTTTGCCCCTATAAGATTATAGATTCTGTTATGGGCAAAACCATTGTAACCCAATGGTGGTTTGTTTGTTTGTTTGTTTGTTTGTTCATTTGGCAAAATCCACTAAAATTAATAGACATGGCTAACTTAGTTTCATTAATTTAAAAGGGTAAAACTTAGTTGGTGACAACTCTTTATCCTTTCTTGGACAATGAACCACAAGCCACCAGCTTCTTGATGTTTATTGACAGAAAAAATGAAGCAACAGTAATCTGCTTGCAATCAGGATCATCATCCTTATTTGAGGGAAGATCAATACATTGTTAGTCAGAGAACCGTGCGCTGCTAGTAACAGACTGGCAAGAAGAAATGGTTTTTCAAGATCCCTTGAAACTCTTGAAAATGCAAACTCCTGTATATACTACGTAAACTTCCTGTATGGGCAATATTCTACATTTTCAAAGGAGGCTAGAATTTGGTAGATGGTATTGTTTATTCAATCATATGCATAACAGTCCCCTTATTTAATGCTATATAGAATCATAAGGCACTATTTACTTACACTGGTCTTCAGCTTTGTAAAGGATTTCGTGAGAAGGAGTTATTATCTCTTCTCTGATTAGCCTATATCACTGGCTTTATCTTTTAAAGAATCAAGAATGATGCCTGGTGTTCTGCAGCAGCAGGTTAAAACCTCCTGTTCTAATATATGAAGTCTGGAGTACTCATAAAAGGGGTTTATGGCAGTGAGGGGGCACGATTGTGACTATCGTGATGGGACCCTGCACTTCTGAAGTAGCCACTGTACCCGTGACACTAGGTAACAGAATTATTAAAAAACTACAAATTGCGGAGGGAGGATCTGCATCAAACTTCCTCCCTCTATAGCAGCCAATGACATATTCTAGCTAAGATGCAAATGGCTGAAGAAATAGGGCACAGATCTCTAGCTACCAGGATCCAAACCAAGAGGCTATTTCTTCCATCCTTTGGGGAGAAGATGGAATGATGCAGAAGGGTTTGCTGCAAAAGAAGGGGGAGGAGTGAAAGTGAGAGAGTCCCACGAACATTGTATGAAGGCTAAAAGGTAAGTGGGAGAGAAGGCATACCCAACTTCACCATCACAAGGTTTGGATGACTGGAAGCCAATTTCCTCAGTTCCTGGAAAGACATAAAGAGCAGAACAATAAATATTAAGAAGTAAAATTGTATCAGGTAGGCTGCTGTCGGAGTATACACTATCACTTCAGGATATTATTATTATTAATTATTAATTGTTATTATTTTAAAAAAGAAATACTGAGCATGATCCAGCCACATTTAAGCACTCATTGGAATAAGTGGGAATTAAAACATGTTTAGACTTGTTCTATCCCTACTGAGTCTTCTTGAAGTGGGTCCAAGTGCTCTGACAGGATTGGAAGACTAACGGGCATAGCAATTTTTTGCATTCAAATAAAATATTGATCATGAATATGGCTAATTATTTTGCATTGGCAGCTGGGAGGTCAAGGCAATTTTAGATTAATGTTGACATAAGAATGATTTGTGGATAGCCAACCCTTAATGATTTCACACCTTGTTTCATTACAGATTTGCCTTTAATGACGCTATACGTGTGAGACCAGAAGTGAGACTGATCATTATCTAGCTCAGTACTGTTTTTCCTCAGTATAATACAATTACTTACCAATAGCTAGCTCTCTCTCTGTGTAATATATATATATATATATATATATATATATATATATGGGTTCTAACGAACTATGGTGAAGATTATAAAACCATGGTCTACTAACAGTGTAGTTGTATGCTCATCTTACTCCAAAGAAAGCCTCATTAATTTAAATGAGACTTACTCATTGGTGAAGTGTATAACGGATTTCAGCCTAAAAGTGCTCTCCACCCTGGCTGGTTCTTGGCCACTTTCCTTGCTATAAATGCATTCAATCCAAGTCTCATGCCAGTGTTGGTGAGACTGATAATTTAAGGTTCAAGGTTCATCTCCAGTTTTCTGCTCAAGCTCACAGTCTGTACTCCAGAGCACTAAAAACTGATGACTTATTTTATACCCCTCTTCTTGAGCTCTTAGCTAACCTAGGAGTTTAAATAAACACAATGAGTAGTGATTTCCTTCGCCTTTGGGGGTGAAAGTTCCTACCTAACAGGCGACAGCAATAACTGGTGCAAAATAACTTCCTGACTCCTACGCTTTGATTCCCAGAAAGTGCTGCTCTTCCTCCTTCCCTCAATTCCCAGTCACCCGACCAGCCCCAATCTCCACCCGTTCGCTGGGAAATAAACCCTGCTCAGTTCAATGGGGCTTCCCACCGACCAAGGCTGCAATGCTGCGCCGGCTTACCGGGACGAAGCCCCAGGGACCAAAGCGGGACTTGCTTCCGAGAACCCTCCTCCATCCCCAAAGAAGCGGCTTCCAAGCAGCCCATGTTGGGGCTTGAGCCTCTCACCTGCCCGCGCTCCCCCTCCGGAGACCGGCTGCAGGCAAAGAGCCACTGCGGCGGGTTGGGCATCTCCAGGAGCTGGCGAACCAGCTCCAGGCCGATGCCGCGGTTGGCTCCCGTCACCAAGACGCTGCGCGCTCCCAAGCCCTCCATGAGCATCTGCTGGACCGCCGTCCCGGGTCCGCCTCCGACAGAAAACTTGCCTGTGGGGCAACACCCTTCGCACCCGCCACACATCGCCCCCCTGCGGCCGCTTGCGGGAACTGGAGCCTTTCCTCGCAGCCTGATGACTATGATTTTTGATAACAGTGTAAAAGTGCACTTTGCGGAAGGTCTGCCTCAGGGGCAGAGCATCTGCTTTGCATACAGAAGGACCCACCTTCAATCCCCGGCATCCTCGTGTATGGCTGGGAGAGAACCTCTCTGAAATCCTGGAGAACCGCTGCTGCCAGTCAGTGTAGACAATACTGAGCTGGAAGGAGAAACAGTCGGACTCACTGTAAGACAGTTTCCTGTGTAGGCCCAGCATGGGTGAAACAGCTGCTCATGCCAATATATCATGGGTAGGCAAACTAAGGCCCTGGGGCCAGATCCGGCCCAATTGCCTTCTAAATCTGGCCCGTGGATGGTCCAGGAATCAACGTGTTTTTACATGAGTGGAATTTGTCCTTTTATTTAAAATGCATCTCTGGGTTATTTGTGGGGCATAGAAATTTGTTCATTCCCCCCCCCAAAAAAAAACAAATATAGTCTGGCCCCCCACAATGTCTGAGGGACAGTGGACCAGCCCCCGGCTGAAAACGTTTGCTGACCCCTGCAATATATCATCTAAGACTGTTGCTGTTTACTTGGGCTCTAACCTGCTCCCACTGTTGGTGTTTGAAGTTGTAGACAATCGCTGTCTTTCCTCCTGTAAGTTTGTGAGATATATTTCTGTTCAGTGTGTATTCCTCAAACCAGCTTCCATGGGCATAGCCAAGGGGGGGGGTGCCAGGGGGGCAGCTGCCCTCCAATCAATAAAAATACATAGCCAACTCAGGTCCCCCCCCAAGAAAAGGCCTGCTTCCCCCCAACAAAAATCCAATTTGAAACTGTAACCTGCATCTACTTTGAGGTTAAGGTGTGTACATTTGGGACCTCCATTGCAGGTGTGTAGATGACAGCTTATTCAATAAGAGTTTGGTTTTCGCTCCCCTGCAACACCTTCCAAAGGTAAGTGAAGACATCCCAGCCCCCTCACTGGACAGCAGTGTTCAAATGCAACTTGAAACACAGCAAGCCCCCCAACCCGTCCCCCGAATAGTCTCACTGTTTTAAGCAACCCATGTGTCCATAAGCAAAAAGTAGGGAGAAGCATCTTCTAATAATAGAAGGCAATATGATCCAACATCCTGCTTGATGCAACCAATGGGGATTTGTTTGAAGATCTCCAATAATCTTGATCTCATTCACCTCCTTTGGGAATAGGTTGCATCCATTGTCAAATGGCTCTTAACTGTTTAGGATGTGGGTGGGGGAACTGTTTAGGAAGGAGGAGGACACACCCATCTCGGCAACCTTCCAGAGGGCAAAGAGTATCTTCTTGTTAACATGACGTTTTCACAATGGGTTTCATATAAGAACAGTATATCTGGCTTGGTTTTGTTTTGTTTTTAAAAAATAAGACTCAAAATGTGTCTTCTTTTAATCAGTGAACCCAACTCCCTTACACTAAACATTTTTATCTTATACAATGATGTCATTGTAACCAATCAATTTACCGTAATCTTTCTGATCTTTAGCTTCAATTCATATTTTAAAAGTTGTTGTGTGCTGGAGATAATTTGTGTGATTAAATCTATGTTATAGCCAAGTATATAAAGTAGTTCATAACTCATTTTGATACCATGCACCCTGAACAAATGGACACTTCATAATCATATCTAAACCTCCCCCATGCTCCTTTGCTCCAACAGCACAACCTGGAGGCAAAACCTTTTTTAAGATGAATTGGTGAATGTTCCCTAAATGTAATGGAGAGAGATGCTGTTAACAGGAATAAAAAGAAATAAACAGTGAAACTTTCTTAACTAGAGACCAGAGGCAACCTCCCACTCACCCTACAAACAGTAAACATATATATTACAATAAATAAAACTGCTATTTTGCAGACAAAAGCTCAGCAGAGTATACAAGTATTAGTCCAAAATAACAAGGTATATTTTAACAGCCGATTCTAACAAGGGAATTGCAATTTTCAGTTTTCATTTTACATTTCTTTTTATTTTCTTGTCTTTTGGAGTGTTAAGTCTCCAGTCAAAGATATCTGCAGGCTGCATCTTGTTCTCAGCAGCATGTGTCATGGAAGACCACAGCATAAAAGGAAATCCACATTTGTATCTGATGTTAGCCTCACTAAGTTTAGCTGTGCAGAAAAACAGTGGATGTCTTTTTTGCAGTCATAGGTTTCAAGTTTTGATAAAGTTCAATCTATGTCCCCTTCAGCTTTATCTGGTCAATTTGCCTAGTGAGTTTCAAGATATTCCTTTATAGCACTGTTTGTGAATGCATGATTATGTCCTATGTGGGAAATCCTTCTTTAGGCTTTGGGGCTAGGGCTCAATGGGTATGTTCAATTTGATCTACAGTGAGACAAATTTCAGGGAATTGTTTAGAGAACCAACTTGATGAAAAGCCCATCATATTTTGTTTCTTCAGACATTCTTCATCCCATCTGGCCTTCAAATTTGGACTCAGATCTGTTTTCCAGTTACTCAAGCTGGGCATCTATTTAATATATAGCCTCTTCCATTTAAGAAAAGGCTTTTTTGGACTTCATGAACATATTAAATGCTTCAAAAGCTGTTTTAGTTCTTTTATCTTTCCTGTCAGTTCTGTCACTTTTTCTTCCAAAGATAAGTCATATTTAATTTCTATTTTGAGATCTTTTTTTACTAGAAATAGCTGCAAAGTGAACTTAGAGAGGAGCTCTTGGCTATCTTTTGACAGTTTTCTGTATTTCTGATGCCATTGCTAGGTCACTGTCAAATCTTTCAATGAAACAATCAGACTCTATCTGTCCTTTCTTTAAAATATGTCTCTAGGCTAATTTCTTTAGAATTTAAATAGTGCCTTGCATATCCTGGAACAAGTCAACTTTTTCTTTTCTTTTCTTTTCTTCTTTTTTCTTTTCTTTTCTTTTCTCTCTCTCTTTCTCTCTTGTTCTGTTAGGCTGTGAAGAGTGAAGTCTGGGCAATTGTCCCCATTGATTCTAAATCTAAGAAAGTGGGGTAGCCTGTGTGACACATTTCTCAAAGAAGCCTAAATCCAACCATCTTTCACCAGTCCTGTAAAACCCTACTATACACACATGATTAAATATTTGCCACTCCACTGGTGGCCATAGCAACACCGTTCAAACCACCAATCTTAAAGGCAAACATTGACATTTTATACCTGTAATCATGATGGAAGTAGAAAGCAGATTAGCAGCAGAATCTTGCGCATGTCCACTGAGAAGCAAGTCCTACTGAGTTCAATGATGCTTAAGTTATGCCTCAGCAAGTGGTTATAAAATTGCATCCATAGTCTCTTTTCATTATTCAAGACTGCAGTTAGCTTTTGGTTTTATGTCTTATTTTGTGTTTCAATTGTTTGTTTGTTTGTTTGTTTGTTTGTTTGTTTATTACTGGAGTGGGGAGTCAATGCATCACATCTCTGGTGCATGGACACATAATGCACACAAACCACTAAGGCACCTTGCAGTGTACACTTTGCTGTTTCACAACCTGCATTTGCTGGAGTATACATTTTAAATCATTAGCCTCTTGGAGGACATTCAGTTTTTCTAGTACTGTATGGTCTTCTTCAAGTGGGTGCCTTCCAGATGGTTTGGAGTCCAGCTCGCAGCAGCCCCAATCAGCACAGTCATGCACCTGCAGGGCACCAGCTTGGCGAAGGCTGTTCTTCTTATAGATATTTGTATTTGCCCATTGCCTCATAACATGAGAAACCCCCCAGCATGGGTCATCGTATAATTTCAGAAATGTAGAAAATAAAATTTCAGAATTAAAATAGAAACTTTTCTTTCATGACTCAGGAGATGGTTTGCATAGGATGGGATTGTGGCATATGTGTGTGGCAGGGGACTCAAATTACAATACTTTTACACCCCCACCCCCACAAAAAGCCCTATGATACAACCCATCGTAATATTGGGAGGGACAATGGGTTTGGTTTTCTTTGGAAGAGAGATCACTGGAGTCTCACTGCATTTTTTAAAAAAAAGTACTTACCCATGAACAAGTTGTTATTTTCTCACGCAGATCGAACTTACAACGTCCCAGCGAAGGTGGAGTGGGAAAGATGCCAGCTTCCAATTTTCTCTTCCAATGAGCCAACAGTGACCACTTTTGAGCAATGAGCCAACAATCTCCTACCTAACAAAAGGAAGTTTATACAATGCAATGTGATCGTATATCATTTTTGCATTGAGATACCAGCCCATAATCCTTTACATTAAACCTTGCCAACTTTGCTCAAAATTGCGAACCAGCTTCAGTCCTGATCTCTCCAGCTTCTTTGCACCTGTCAGGTCCTGGCTTTGAAATGTTCTCGCTCTTCCAGAAGTGGTGTCTAAGTGCCATTTCACACACCACACTCAGTTGGCAGCTGTAGCCATGATTCATATACTCATAGTGTATATTTTAAAGCATTTTGGATGTCTGTCTCAAAATGTAGTGGAACTACTATGCCAACCCTAAAAAGCTGCAGCTGGGCACAACAGGAGACATTAACCTCTGCTCTGTCCAAAGGCATCCAGGAAGCCAACACCAAAGGACTTCCTTCCTTCCTTCCTTCAGCAGTGGGCACAAAAGGGATTTTGAGAAAGTGCCAATGCTGTAGGCATGCCCTTTATCAAGCGGGGAAAGACACCTACATCAGCCACCACTTCTCTTTTCACGTCTCCTTCCCAGAGTGTGGTCCACAGACCAGGATTGCTCCATTACCTTCATTCAGGTGGCCTGTGGTGTGTCTGTATGAGCACAGTTAAAAACCATACAGCTGCTAACACAGGGCATTACAATTGCTACAACAGGCAGAATAATCATTAAGTGGTCCTCCAAGACCCCCAGCAATTTTCAAGAGGCCAGTGCAGCGGAAAAGTTGGGAGATCACTGCCTTATATGTTGAATAAACTTGTACTACCCTACCATTTGAATAAGTGATAAGCAAGCAGGGCTCAATTTCCCCAAAAGCCTGTTATCATTTCATCACCCTTCCCTTATTCTAACCTTGTTAACCAAGTAAACGAGTTCCATAGTCTCAAAAGCCATTCTTGCATAGAGGGTGGGTCAAACTTACTTGTGGACCCAGTGCCCCTCCCTCCTGAGAATGCAGCGCTGCAAGCCTCAGACTGAGAGGACTCCATCATAGATACCCCACCAAGACCAGGGTCTCTCCTGTCCCTTATCTGATCTTGCTCTCCTTCAGTTCTTTTACACAAAGGCATTCCTGTCCCTCAGTGTTTCGTCAGTAGTTATATAATCCTGGTTGGAGAAGCTGAGGGCTAGATTTACCGTTCGGGTTGGGTTGGTGAAGACCTTTGTCATTTTGGCACAGGCTAGGAAGAGAGATGGCTGTGCTGAATGCACGCAGTGTCCTGGTGACTGGGTCCAATCGGGGTATTGGCTTGGAGCTGGTCAAACAGCTGGTTGGGAAAAGTAACCGGCCAGAATGGATCTTTGCCACCTGCCGGGACCCAGAGGGACCACGTGCCCAGGTGAGCTCCAGGGTGGAACTTAGGGTGGGTTTCCCTTTGATGCCAAGAAGATTGTGCCCTGGTCGGTAGAGGTGCCTCACAAGGCTCTTTAAGTTCCACATTGCTGGGGTAAGTTAAGTGGCTTAGAGATAGTTTGCATGTCGGCTCAAGCACAGATTGTTTACCCCTTTTGGGGTGCCTTTGCTGAAATTTTTCCTTGCAGAGCTAGGAATGAAAAGTTGGGCCCAGAATAAACTTTAAGATCTTAACTGATGCAAAAGAAAGAGGGGGGTTTGCCCTGCCGGACCTGAGACTCTACTATGAATCGGCAGCGTTTTGCTGGCTGAAACAATGGCTGCTTCTTGAGAACACAGACATTTTGGATCTGGAAGGCTATGACAATAGATTCGGTTGGCATGCATATATATGGTATGACAAGGTAAAAATACATAAAGGTTTTAAAAACCATATTGTTAGGAAAGCACTATATAATGTTTGGATAAGATATAAAGATCTACTGGAAAGTAAAACTCCCAGGTGGCTATCACCAATGGAAGCTAAAGAGACGAAAAAACTTAATATGGAGTCCAAATGGCCAAAATACGGTGAAATCTTAGAGCAAGATGGTGAAAGGGTCAAATTACAGTTATGATAAATTAAAGTCTAAAGTACGAGATTGGTTGCATTACCTTCAGATAAACGAGGTATTCAAACAGGACAGGAAAATAGGTTTTCAGATGGAGAGGTCGAAATTAGAAACAGAATTGTTAGAACCCAATACTAAGAACTTGTCAAGAATGTATAATTTGCTGCTGAAATGGAACACACAAGATGAAACAGTAAAATCAGCTATGATTAAATGGGCACAAGACATAGGTCATAACATTATGTTTGAAGACTGGGAAAGGCTGTGGAATACTGGTGTTAGATTCACGGCCTGTAATGTTTTGAGAGAAAATATAATGAAAATGATTTATAGATGGTATATGACCCCAGTCAAACTTGCAAAAATTTACCACTTGCCCAATAATAAATGTTGGAAATGTAATGAAACTGAAGGTACTTTCTATCACCTTTGGTGGACCTGCCCGAGGATTAAGGCCTACTGGGAAATGATCTATAATGAAATCAAAAAGGTCCTTAAATGGACATTTTCTAAAAAACCAGAGGCTTTTCTCCTGGGCATGGTGGGCCAATTGGTGCCAAGGAAGGACAGAACTTTTTTTATGTATGCTACCACAGCAGCAAGGATTCTTCTGGCAAAGTATTGGAAGACGCAGCAGCTACCCACTCTGGAAGAATGGCAAGCGAAGGTGATTGACTACATGGGAATGGCTGAGATGACCGGCAGAATCCGTGACCAGGGGAAAGAGACAGTGGAAGAAGATTGGAAGAAATTTAAAGTATACCTTAAAAACTGTTGTAAAATTGAAGAGTGCTGAGATGTTATGGTGTTAAGAAATAGAGAATTGCAGCTGTATATCATAAATTTAAGGGAGCTATAATGAAGATGAATTAATAATGAAATGAAGGGTTGCTGTTAAAAGGGAAAAATAAGGATGCAGAAAAAGGGAGGTATGGGGAAGTCCGGGAAACAAGGTGAAGGAGAACGAGTCTATGAAATTGTACATGTTTATTTGTGTGTATGTTTTGTTTTGTTTTGTTGTTTGTTTTTATTACATGTCTGGAAAACTAATAAAAATTTTATAAAAAAAAAAAGGAATGAAAAGTTGGAAAGAAGTTAATTACTCCCACCTGAAGAGCATTTAAACAGAGAAGTAAATATCCTGATGAGTGTTGGAGATAACAAGAATAACTCAGATCCAAAGCTTCTGAAATACATACCATGGGATGAAGATTACTAAGGAGTCAATTACATTGAGCAGAGTGATTATTTTTTCTGGGTCAAAGTGTTTAGGATTAGAATATTGCTAAACATAATAATTTGTATTGAAGCAAGAGTGCCAGGAAACTGATTTATGAATCCATATATTAAACTATAACACTATGTTTTTCATCTGGGGAGTTCCTCTCCCCAACTAAGCAAGAAGTCCTCTTTCTCCAGCTCCTTGCTAGGCAGTCCTTCCTAGGGACTTCACAAGAAGCCACAAACTCCTCTTTTGCTGTAAACAGCAGTGTAACATTGCGACATAGAAATGCAGAACGGAGAAATGATTGCAAATATGTACTTTTGTACTCTCCTGTTGCATGGCACAAAGCAAACAAGTTTATTTTTAATCTCTTGGTTGGAATAGTTTGTTTTTTTAATTTTGAGAAAGAAGTGGTTTGGAATTGATTTTTTGGTGGAGAAACAAAACTGCATGAAACCAGAAGCAAGTGTTCCTTGTGATCTTTTCTGAAAATCATACTTGGACCCTCTTACATGGAAGCTCTTTCTCTGTTCATATATTAGAGAATAACACTGTTTTTCATCTGGGTTACTCAGCCATATATAAGCACATGCTTGGTAGCCAAAGGCAAGAAGGAATTGCAAGCAGGCAAGTGAGTGCTCTGTCCTTCCTCTATGCCTAACTGTTAGAGGATAGAAGCCACAAATTATATTGGGTTAAGACTTGTGGTTCTCTTGGGGGAGGCTTGTTTTATCCCTAGTGGTGAAATCTGGTTTCTCAGAACTGCATGCAAAAAGTTTGAGTCTGGAGATTGCTAAACAATTTTTAAAATATAAGTTTGTATATAAGTAGCATAAGGAAAACAATAAAGTTGACCAATAAAATGAGTAAAGACAATAATGCTGTCCTGTCAAATGATTGAGTGCATGCTGTTTGTGATAAGAATAGCTTAAGATCATTACCGTATTTTTCCGCTCCATAACACGCACCTGACCATAAGATGCACCAAGTTTTTAGAGGAGGAAAATAAGAAAAAAAAATTCTGAACGAAACAGTGGATGTATGATTTTTTTAGTTCATGCTGTGGCCACAGACATGTGATCTGATGGTGAATTTGGGGTGACCCAATGCAAAAATCCTGAGGATCCATGCTTTGTAACCACGTTTTTGCTCCATTGTGGCCCCGCGCAACAGTGGGTGCGTGATTTTTTTGGTGCAGGCTGTAGCCATGGACATGCTATGTGATCTGATGGCGAATTTGGGGTGACCCAATGTAAAAATCCTGAGGATCCATGGGCTTTTACCTCCCCCCTCCCAGGCAGCCTCTGCTAGCGTCCCTTATCTCTCTTCCGATCCCACTGATCAACTGTTTCCTTTCAACACTCCCTTCCCTCTTGTTTGCCTTAGCGTCTTTTCCTTAGCTGAAGCAGTTTTTTGCTCCTCCCTTTCTTCTAATTTCTCCCCTTATTGCTTTAGTCTTCCTGTTTCCCCCCTTTGCAAGTTTGCTATCTTTACCTCCCCCTTCCCGGGCAGCCTCCTTTATCTCTAGCATCCCTTATCTCTCTCCCCGATCTGCAAATGTTCAGAGGCTTTGTTTCAACATCCACTTCCCCTTTCAAAAAAAGAGAAAAGCATGATCTGCTTTTTGCCCCTGGGCAATTTGGCTCCAGGGACCACACATTCACTCCATAAGGCACACAGACATTTCCCCTTACTTTTTAGGAAGAAAAAAATGTGTCTTATGGAGCGAAAAATACGGTAAATGATCCATATATCAGCATCAGCTAAACAGGATGCCTTCATTTGCCACAGCTGCAACAAAACATGTCTCTCCCGTATTGGTCTCTACAGCCACAGCAGGCGCTGTAACTCTCCAAGGGTTTGACTTCATCCACAAAGGCGTACTCTTTCACCGACAGTTGGTAACCGTCACCAAACATGAAATTTCTGTACTGTCCTTCATCCGAGGATCAACATGCAACTGTGAAAATTGTATTTTTTATCTGCAATAATTGATGACAGAAGAAAATTATTTCTTAATAAAAGTCGTGTGAGGGAGATTCAGAATTCTAAGTTAGTTTTACGCTTTTTTCATTCTGGTTATACATAATTCTGTTCAGATCTGCATAAATTCATACTATTTCATTCATTTTTATATTTCCTTTCACTGTTTGTAAAAAGGAGAAACCTTTTTATAGGGGCATATTGTGATTTGTCCAGGAAATTCAGCATTCTAAGTGTGTTTATTTTATAGTTGATTTGCTTCCAAGTTCACTATTTCTATTTCTGCTACCTTGCCTTACCGTTAATCTTTGTTTTCTAATGATCTAATGACTGGGGACAAATAAATAAATCTGATATGACAATCAACCATTTATTGGATTACTCTTACTGGTCCAGTTGCTCCTGTGGTTTATCGTGACTTTGGGTTTGAGTCCCAAATATCTGTTCTTTGCTGTCACACAGAAGGAAGAAACACAGTAACAACATGAATGCCTAGTGGGAAAGCACCCTCCTCTTCCTATCCTGTCTCAAATAATGCCGTATGAAGGACATGAAGTTCTGTTTTCTCTCTCCTTTTTTTTAATATTTCAGGAATTGAAGAATTTGGCTGCTAAGCACCAGGGAGTAGAGATTCTTGCACTGGGTAAGTGCCTGCTCTCTCCACCTACCCCACCTTAAATTCCCTCATCCGACCTAAATTACTGTCTACAATAGCTAGAATTCAAGGCCATCTCATTCAAGGTATTTTGCAGGTTACATGTTCATTGTTTCTCCAGTGCTCACTTAGGGAGCTTCCAGATGGGGGATCAATACTTCAAATCAGTCATTTAGATGTCACAAACAGGTTGTTGGCTGAAATAAGTATGGTTGGTTGGGTTTGTTTGCTTAACCACTTGGATTTTCCACAGAAAGGGGGAAATCTAGACTAAATCAGGTAGTTGCAGGGGGAGGGGGGAGATGCAGACTGGCATTCTGATGCCAGCAATGTCATGTAGAAGCTTCAGGAAAAATTGCATGTATGAGGAGTTATAATGCCACAGTAAATGCCATCTCAAAACTACTTTAGAATATAAGAACTTGAAAAAAGTGTTGGATCCAGGACCAAAGCAGAAAAGCTAATATTCTGCCAGGTAGATAAAAAAAGAGAGAGTATGTTCCTCTATTTGATATAAATTCAGTATGTTGCAGCAATTGGCAAGCTTAGTGAGTAAATAGGCAATGTAATAGAACAAACACAGACAGTGTGTACTGGCAACTGTATAGTCAACGCCTGGCCTTGAGCATTCTCAATCTAACACTGAGAGTTTCTCAGAAAAACAAATATATTTTTAATTATATAAAAAAGGGGGGAGCCCAATCATCCAGTGAGGGCTGTAGCTGTGGAATGTTGTGTGTCAGTTAAAAGTGAATAAGAATGGAAAAGCTGGGAAATGAGACATTTTTCACTTTCACAAGTATAGCAATGCCTATAAAACACTGCTAATGCCATGACCCCTGAATCTAGTAGTAAGCCAGACACAGGTTGGGAGGCTGCAAAGATACCAGCTAAGGAACTGGACAAAGTTCAAGTCTCTGAGGGGCTTGTTGGGGACCAGGGGAGCATTGTGCCTAAAGCCAGGGCACTTATGAGTGTCTTTCCCTGAGCCTAAGGAGCCAAATGCCTCCCACCACACTTTGCTCGTCCAGCAGTGCACTAGGAGGCTATGGAACACAAGAGAAGTGTCCATCTTCAGGCCAGAAGGATAGTCCTTTAAGGCTCTGAAGTTGTTCACAATGGGGTGGAGGCTAGAAAAGGTAGTCTGGAGGTCAAGATTTAAAAGGTTTCAGTCTGGTCCTAACCTTCATCTGAGCAAGTAGGTCACCTAGAGCTATCTGTGGTACTATTTCTGTCCAACATATGTAGACAGAAGTTGTTACTTAAAAGTAAGAAATACCTTTATTCAGACAAATAATGGTGCAGGCTCAGCAGCAGAAAAATTACTCAGGAGTCATGATTCGGAAGTCCAGGAACAACAAAATAAATTCAGAATTGGACAGAAGTGATGAAGATGTCTCAACAAGTTTCCATACCCCACCTACCAAGCTTTTAAAGACTAAGTGTGGTGCATTTACTCATGAGATTTGCTTGCCTTGATAGAATGTTGGGTTTGCAACCATGTGTTTCATTGGGCTGGGTGAGTATGCTTCTGTCTACAAAGGTGGCACCTGGTTCCAGGCAACAAGACTGCATGCTCCAGTTCAACTGTTGCTTCCTCTGTCTTTGGTGGCTCACAACCCTCCCCAGCCTCAACTGGGAAGCAAGGGAGAGCCAAGGGAAATCTCCCCTCCTCTAACCCAGGATCCCACAATTCAGCCCCTCCAATTTTTGCTGTCCCAAGCTCAAACCCAAGGTGCTGCAGAGCTCATGACACCTGGCTGCCTTCTCTGTGGGATACCTGTACAGTTCTGGCAAACATGTGTTTGTCCATTGTGTGCATTTTATCCGCTATACATAATACATATGGCATGTATGCATAAAAATGTGCCAAGTAAGTTGATCCATAGTCCTCTGGATTTCCAGAGCAAGAAGACTGCAGGTACAGAGCAATAGCAGTGCTGGTGAGGTCTGCAGGGTTAGATCTTCATTCACTTTCATTTCCTTTAAAATATTTTTGCTACTTTAGATACTTCCGAGCCATCTAGTGTCAAGGCTGCTGCAACCCGAGTCACAGAGTGGTTGAAGGGAGCTGGGCTCAATCTTCTGATAAACAATGCTGGGATTTTAAAGCTAAGCACTCTGGAAACAGAGACACCAGACAGTATGGCTGAGGTATACAAAACCAATGTGATTGGCAGCATGTTGGTGACTCAGGTAAGACTCTTTGTCTCTTTGTTCCATAAACTTTTTGGCATGTTGCAGAGCCCTTGACTTTGGAAGGTCATGATGCCGTTGCTTTCTGGTTGTTGGGGTGATGGGTCGGTGTGCCTTTTGAGAACATATGAACAGCAGGAACTTCTTGTAGCTGCATGACACACCAAAATTTAACAGATGTGGTATTTGAGGTTATGGAAGTAAAGTGATGAGAGAAGGTTGCGCCTGATGAACAGCTTCTGCCTGGGTGAGCTGCAAGAGAACTTTGGCATGCCACTGCAAGTAACACCTGAGCTTATGTTTGTCCTCACAGTGAGAACATTGAACTGGAGAGGAGAGACACTGACCTTCTCACTGATATAATTATCTAGACCTACTCCAATCCAGCTTCAGAACTTGATTTGTGACTGAATCAGCCTTGGTTATCAGTAGAGGGTCAGAGAGAGTGCAACCTTGCTGCTCCTGCTTGATCTCTCATGACCATAGACGGTCTATGAGAGATTGGTACCAGCAGCACTATTCTGCAGTAGTTGCAGTCTTATCTGATTATTCTTGAGCTATGGAGTGCTGCAGGACACTACATGTCTCCAGAGTTATTTAACATCCATATGAAACCTTTGGGTGTGGCGCCATATGGAGATCTCGCACAAGGTCCAGCTCTATTTGTCTGTAACTTCAGAATCAGGAATGGTGGATCAGGTCCTAGACCGGGGTCTGGATGCAGTGATAAGCTGGATGAGGGCTAATTGAATCCACTTTATTTTTCTTGCACCTGGGAGCCATAGCCACATGCCTCTTTGTTCCAGGAAGCAGGAGAGAGAGAAAGGGAGGGAAGCAAGGGAGGCCTGTTAAGCCACACCCACTGGCAACTTGTGCTCAGGGTTAAGGATAACCCTTTCATGCATACAGGCATGAGTCAATAATTGAATATCACAACAGAAGTTTATTAGTTTTAAACCTGTCTTTTGCTAGTTGGAGGGGGGGACTGTTTGAAAACCATTTTTATCTGTTTTTCTGGTATGTTTGTCAATTGCCTTTAGATGAATGGAAAAGGTGATTCATAAATTAATAATAATCAACATTCATTCTACCCTTACCTTCTCCAGGCATTCCTGCCCTTGCTGAAGAAGGCATCTCAGGAAAGCACCCAGAAAGGAATGAGCTGCAGCAAAGCTGCCATTATCAATGTATCCAGTGAAGCCGGTTCCATTAAAAATGTCCTTGTATGGAATGAAGGGCAAATCATTGGTTACCGTTGTAGCAAGGTATGGAGGTAACAGTGGTTGGCTCTGCAATTCAAAGTTTGAAAGTAACTCTCAGTTAATTTCACCTTAGGGTGCTGAAAAGGTTCTTAGAAAATCCACCCTATCTTGACTGTATCCATTTTTGTTAGTAACATTCAGACACTTTCATTTGTTTAGAGTTAGTGCATGCTGGCCTATTTATTTAATTTAATAGAATATAGATTGATAGATATAAAAAAATCTCTAAGCACATTACATAAAATAATAGATTTTAATATAAATATATAACATTTATTTAAGATACTGATAGCATACTTTTAAAACAAACTGACATAATTAAATAGTTGTATTTGAAAAAGAGTATAGATAATTTATATATATATTTTAAAAGTATACATAATTAGGAATGGACATATGTCACTAATTTCTGGTTTCTCGCAGCTTCTCATTTTCCCAGCCTTAAATTCAATCATCTTCCTTTCAGCTGTAATGTGATTTTTCATATTAAAAATCCTCTTGAAAATACCACTCCAAACTTCTCTTAATAGACACATTTTTGATGCAGTTTTCAACTATATATGTTTGTATGTTATTTTTACAAATATAAGAATTTTATGTGCACTTTTCTATGTATGCTATATGCTTTTTGTACACATTGGTTCAAGAACAGAGCCACAAAATTTATAGAAGTGTAAATTTCGAACAGAGATTGTTGTATTTCAGTTTGTGTATTGGTTTGAGTAGCTTCTCATCAAAATATAAACAGAATTGAATTTCTACCTGCTTCTGGTATGTCTCTCTCCTAGGCTGCTCTGAACATGCTCACCCGGTGCCAGTCCCTGGGATATGCCAAAGACAACATCCTGTGCATTACATTGCATCCTGGGTGGTTACAGACAGACATGGGAAATAAATTGGTAGGTGATTCATGTATGGGATGTTATGAGTAGTACCTCTGGTGGGGGACATGTCATACTCCTTCTGGACTAGTTTGTCCACCTTTGCTCCCCACCCTGCACTAAACTCTCACCTGTGGCTCCTAGAAACTATCAGCATGTGACCTGACACATATAGACAATTGCAAAACAATAAGGTCTGTGCTGCCTTTAAAAGCTTTTTTGTGCTTCTGGAATTTGCTTCCTTACTGTGGGTGGGTGTCCATTCACTTCTTTTACTTTCCTAATCAACTCAGCACTATAAGGCTTTCCATTATTTAGAATCTCACACAATGGCAGCCCCTCTCTCAAGCTATTCAGATACCTTGTATTACAGTATTCACTTCCCTCTTTCCAAGTAAATGAAGCAGCTAAAGGCTTGTCACTTTACAGTTTCCCTATAGTGTTCTAAACCTCTTTTAAGCTTCATTATAACATCCTTAGGAAAAGCAAAGTGTGCTTAAAAACAAACAAACAAACAAAACAAACTGTAATCACATGCAGATTGCTTTTCTTCAATAAATTCTGTTCCTGGAGACCTGAGTAAATTCTATATTTGCTCACAAATTTCCAACATCCCCACTTCCTCCACCCTTTAGTTGCGGGAACTATCAATGTATCCTTAGTCTCTGGTTCCCCTTAACCAGGTACTAATCAATATGAGGATGTGTGCTCTCTCTTGACTTATCCATGTTTGTCATTATTTTTTCTCACTGCGCAAGACATTCATTTATTTTGCACAGTACAAGTCGCTCATCTATTGTCTTTCCAAAGCTGCAATGACACTCATAGACTTATCTCCCATGAATTTGATTCCCCTGGAAAAACAACAGCACCCGTAATTGAACATCAAATTTTGAGGTCCAATATAGGTTAGCCCTAGGATCCTTTGGGGGCAGACTTTGTGAGAAACTTTTTGGACGTATGTAATGTCTATCAGACCAGCCTTATCAATGCATACGTAGGAGAGCTATCAAGAATATTTCTCTGTTTTCCTCTCAAAGGCTGTTATGACGGAAAGCTTAGGTAGACCAGAGGTCTGGTGGGGCAGTGGAATTCCACCAGAGTGGTGTGGCTGGCAGAGTGCTGTGCTGGAGACTCACTCTGATTGTCTGAGGGTACAGCTAGCCAGAGGGGGTTGGAGACAGCACTTTGTGAGAGAAAAAGGAAAGGAGTGGAGACTGGGGTTTCTGGTGTTCAGCTGGATAAGAGGATAGTCTCTGAGTTTTGTGTGTAACATCCATCCTGAGGAAAATATCTACAACCAGAGAAATAAGTTTCTCAGCTTGGATCGAAAGACAGTGATTAGTGTCTTTTGAGAGTATACAGACAATTCCTGCTTTTCTACTGGTGGTACTCAAGGGTACGCAGTACCCGCAACTTTTTATAGAAGAAAAGCACAGGTTAAAAGTGTGGCATTTACTGTAACAACTTCATGTTGTTTACCTGCAACCTTTTTTTCCTAGAAGAAAAGCACTGCAGACAAGTGAGAACTGGGTAGCTGAATTTGAGACAGGAGAAGTGGAGTTGTGAAGGAACACTCTGCTTGGGTCTCAATTCAGTAAGAAGGGAACAGATCTTCTGGTGAGAGAAGAGTAATCCCAAAACCAGCTCGGAAGGGTGTAGTGGTGATCCTCTGGTCTGGTATACTAAGAGAGGAGCCTCAGGAGTGAGATTTATAGGAGGCTGGGAAAATGACAGAAAGTACCACCTTGTTTCAGAACCTAAGCTTTAAGACTTAAGCTGTAACACTTCAGTAAATAGTTTAAGAAATTGAAGGGGGGGAGGGAAACTGTAGATACACCATCTTGATTAGAAGCCTGTAACATCCACTGAATTTAATATATATAAGTTTACTGTTTCTTGGTAAACTTGGTACCAAGTCTCAGTAGTGGCGCCCATCCTATGGAATGCCCTCCCATCAGATGTCAAAGAAATAAACAACTACCTGATTTTTAGAAGACAACTGAAGGCAGCCCTGTTTAGGGAAGCTTTTAATATTGGATGAATTTTTATGTTTTGCTGGAAGCTGCCTAGAGTGGCTGGGGAAACCCAGCCACATGGGCGGGGTATACATAATAAATTTATTATTATTATTATTATTATTATTATTATTATTATTATTAGAATTATAACAAACCAGTTTTACCAATTTTGTTTGTAAAATAATCTCTTTTTCCTGTTTAACTGCAAGTCGTTGTGTCACTTTTCCTATTCTCTTTCCAGGGGCAGCCCCCACTGACTGTGGACCGCAGTGTGCAAGAAATCCTGAACACCATTCCCTCTCTCTCTGAGAAAGACCATGGCACATTTGTGAACTTGGATGGGAAAGTCCTTCCCTGGTAAAACACCAAACAATCTGCTTGTCTGCACTGCAGAAGGAACCCCTCACTACCACAGGCAACACAAACACCTGAGAAGATATGCCTTTTTTCTACTTCTTTAAAAAAATACATCTTCAGCTGAAACTCTCACCATCTAACCTTCCTTTGAACTATTCTGTGTAATGAGGTTAATTCCTAGTGGCTTTTGCAGTCTCACTTGCTTGTATTTCTTTTTAACAGTGCAAGTCATCAATTAACTCATTTATTCACACTTTCAAGATATAGGCATCAAGGGTGCTAGTTAGCCTCCACTGCACACATGTTATGGATGCTTCCAGATGTAGGTGACCTAGCAACAGCCAGTGGTTGCTGTTCTGCTTCAAGCAAAAAGCAGAATAACAACTATTCACTGAGATTGCTGGAATCCAAATAACATTGTTTGGCTGAGTAGATAGTCTCCTTTCTCCCAGCCTCAAATGTTTGGAAAGGGTTATTTTGGTGGACTATGGCATGTGGAGGCTAAACCAGTCAATGGGGCAGTCTTCCTCTTCCCCCCACCAAAGCATTTGAAGGGTCACAGCTAGAGATTTGCTATATCTAATGCATATATTTGGAGAAGCGCTGTAACAGCTCAGCGGCAGAGCCTCTGCTTTGCATGCGGAAGGTTCTGTGGTCAACCCTGATTCCTCCAAGAATATAGAATCATAGGAATGTCCCTTGTTTGAAAATCCAGAGAGCCTCTGCCAGTCAGTGTGGACAATACTCAGCATGATGGACCAATGGTCTGACACAGTATACCGCAGCTTCCTTCCTATGTTCCTCCCTCAGGGGCTGGCCCAACCGTTTGGCAGAGGGAGGCAGCAAGTAAACAAAGCTATGTGAGCAATTAAAATCATCAAAATGAATGCAAGGAAGAAATAATTCAAGTAGGCTAACTGTTTAAGTATGAAATGGTTGATTGCAGTAATAAATGATTTTTTGAATATTGGATAATTTTTAAATTTTAGTAACGGTAAAAAACATGATTGGAACTTACTATGATTTGCAATTTCCTAATATTGTAAGCTATTCTTTTTGCATTTCAATAAAGTAGGTTTGCCTATCTAATGACCTGGCATTTATCCTCATTAAGTAATACTAAACTAAACAATACATTTATTATGTTGCTCTTCCATGTAATTCAGTATGCTATGTTTCCTAACAGCATTTGGGGTGAGGTGCAAGAGGAGGCCCCCAGGGCTATGTTTTGGCCATAGCCAAGGCTACTTTTGTTCAGCCCTTCATCATAGTTGTCTTTCTCGAAGTGGAAGGGTTAAAGTGGACTGCCAAGTATAAGAGCTATAGCTGAGCATAACAGGAAGAGCCAGAAACTCCATTCTGTCCAAAGGTCACCCAGAAAGCAAGGTACAAAACAATGGCTTTGCTGGTATAGCTACCTTTTCCCAACTTCTCTCTTTAAATAGGCAACAAGCCAAACTTGTAAAGCCTCTTGCTAAGCCAGTGCATGAAGGGAGCTCCCAACAAATCTCTTTCTCATTATTTCTTGTTATGTTTCTGGGCTGCTGCCAGTCTGAGCTGAGTGGTAGAGCTGCTCCATCCATTAGGCAAGGTTGGGGAGCAGGGTCCACAGGGGCAGCAGAGCCAGACTTAGTCCAAAAAGCAGCAAAGGATGTGGAGAAGGGCTTCTTGCAGTGGCAATCAGCGAAAGGCAAATGATGAATGAGAACAGGCTGAGGGAAAGGCGGAGGCACTTGGTGTGTGGCATGATCCGCAGTGGCGTAGCGTGGGTTGTCAGCACCCGGGGCAAGGCAAGTAATTTGCGCCCCCTAACCCGTGGATTTGCGCCCCCTAACCCGTGGATTTGCGCCCCCTAACCTGTGGATTTGCCCTAACCCCAGATGTTGCGCCCGGTGCGGCCAGCCCCCCCTGCACCCCCCACGCTACGCCACTGATGATCCGCTCTGGGATCTGGGACTTTCAGGACAAAGTCATGGAGTCGTGATGGCTGCAGTGTTTCTGTGGTGATGCCGGCAAAATCAGGGCAGTTGGAGGGTATGGAACTGGGTGTCAGAATCGGCTATCCTTGGGTGCCACTGTGTTTTCTTAGGCAGGGACCGATAAATGACTGCTATTTCTGCCCTGTCAGCTTCCCTTCCCCACCAGGCAACAAGACTTGTTAATCTGTTCCTGCCTGCTAGTGGCAAAGCCCAGCTTCTCTTCCTTTCTCCCCTGTATGAAGTAACTTGAACAACATTGGATTTTTGCCAAATAGAGCACACACTGATACCAGCCTTGCTGGAGAAACTGAGGGCTGGAGTTAGCGCTGGAACTGAGCCGACAGAGAGCATTGTCAGTTGAGCGCAGGCTGGGAAGAGAGATGGCTGTGCTGAATGCACGCAGTGTCCTGGTGACTGGGGCCAATCGGGGTATTGGCTTGGAGCTGGTGAGGCAGCTGGTTGGGAAAAGCAACCGGCCAGAATGGATCTTTGCCACCTGCCGGGACCCAGAGGGACCACGTGCCCAGGTGAGCCACAGGATGCACACTGGGAAGAGTACAGAAATGAGGGTGGTGCCAAGACACTTGTGCCCCAGGCAAGCTTGTTGCACTTCCCATTCCCAGGGTCTGACTGCTTAAACACAATTTAGTGGCCCCCTTGAGTGCTTTGACAACCCTTTCTTTTACAGAATTAGGGAAGAATGAGTAGGAAAGAGATTTGGTATCTCTCACCCCTTGATCTGAAGAACATTTAAAGGAAGAAGTGATTATGCTATTGGGGGGTTGGCTATTACAAGAACAGCTCAGATTTTGAAACAAATAACGTGAGTTAAACATTACTAAATAGTCGCTTGAGTGAGGATTTTGTCTGTGTCAACGTGCTTACAATTGCAATGTTCGTTCGTATGCAATTAGATTGGAAGAGTGTGGAAAAAGAGCCTTACAACTTGTCAAAGAGGTAACGTATCATTTAGCTTGCAGGTAGGTACTGTCTTCTTATAGTGGGGTGTGGGTTACGGATTCCAAGCCCCAAGATATGTCTGATCCCAAGGAAAGCCCCTGGGGTTAGGGGGCGGAGATCCACCCTCTGAAGGAGACTCAGGTAAGCTCTCAGAAATGCCTCCCTTTACCTCCCTTCCAGATATGCCCCCCTTGCTTCTCCACCTCTGTCACTTTCCCCTATTATGTAAAAGCCTCCCCCTTCAGGCAAGGCTGGTGGAAGTAAATCGGATACTGAGCCAGCACCCACCCTGCTTCCGTTGCCTAGGACAGAGACACCAGTGCTGGCCCATCCCGTCCTTCAAAAGGAAGGTGCACAAGGCATGTCCCTTGTTGGTTCATAGCTTGTGCTTAGCCAAGTCTTTAATCTCTTATGTAACCCACCGATCCTTGCAACCTGTGACTAATCTGAAAATAAAAGCTAAAACCACGAGTTGCAGTTAATTGGGTGGGGAGAGGCAAGCAACACTTATGCAATCAAAATCAAAACCAGGACAAAAATTATTCAGTAGATCTTTGTTTGTGGAACACATAGAAAAAACAAGTACAGTGGTACCTCGGGTTACATACACTTCAGGTTACAGACTCTGCTAACTCAGAAATAGTACCTCGGGTTAAGAACTTTGCTTCAGGATGAGAACAGAAATCGTGCTCTGGTGGCGTGGTGGCAGCAGGAGGCCCCATTAGCTAAAGTGCTGCTTCAGGTTAAGAACAGTTTCAGGTTAAGAATGGACCTCCGGAACAAATTAAGTACTTAACCTGAGGTACCACTGTACTCAGTTTCCCTTGATTCTTTAAGAAAATGTGGGTTTGCAGCCTAAGCTTGTGTATACACTATACCTTTAAAGCACCTTGAAGTTCTCCCCCCCCCCAAAAAAAAATCTTGGCACTGAATTTTGTAAAGGAGCTGAGAACTGTGGTTCTGTGAAGGGTAAACAACAGCGACCAGAATTCTTTGTTTGGTGCTTCAAATGCCTTTCAAGGGTATAGAGTGTTCACAGCCATGGCTTTATCACCACTTCCTTCTTGATTACCTAACCAAGGAGAGGTATTTCAAAAGCATATCTTGTAACCACCTCCACCTTTGTGGACAGCAGGATCTAGAATCAATCTAGACTAAGGTTACCAGATTTTTTTCAATGAATCCAGGGACACTTCTCAACTTCCTGTTAAATAAATGGATTTTGTCAGGGGACTGATTTGTAAATCCTGGGACTGTCCCCGGGAAACGGAGACATCTGGTAACCTTAATCTAGACTGAAAACTGTTTGTTAAGAATGAGAATGAATTATTTCAGATTATGGAAAAACTACATTTTTGTGTTACGAATGGGTTAGTGTGTACACAGCCCAAATCATCTACTTTCTTCTCTCCGCTTTTAAATAATCCCACCTCCAGGGCTTGATGTTGCATCCTAAATCTATGGTCTGTGCATCTTCCAGGTCTTGAAGGATTTGGCTGCCAAACATCAGGGAGTGGAGATTATCCCACTGGGTATGTGTTTGCCCCCCCCCCCACCAAATTGCCTTGCCCCCCCTCTTCCCACATTGCCAGAGACAAGCGCTGAGATTAAAAGTAATTTCGCAAGACTACTTTCCTGCAGGATATGTTCTAAAAAAACAACTTAAATATATAAAAGTCAACTCCATTGTCAACAGTTGCTGAGAGGCATCCTCACACTGAGGATTCATCTCTTTTTCTTTAACTCTTTCCTTTCCTTTCTGCCACATCAAATGATGAACCGCATGATGTGAGAAAGGGCCATTCTCCTCACGGACTGTAGGCAGAACCCCCAAACAGTCCGAGCACAATCCAGTTCAGCTCTAAATAGAGAGCAAAACTCAACACCATTGAGCCTTTCTATTTGCATTATAACTTTCAGTTATATGACACACTGTTCCATATCTAGGCACCTTTGTACTCCTGGTGATGACTTCACCTCTGATATTATGAGTAACTTGTAGGTGTTGCAATATTGACAAAAAAATTGTTTTTATACTAGTTCAAAGAGTTCTGGGCCTCTGCCAGAAGACTGAACCTTAATCCTTCGTGGGATTGTTGCCATTGGGTAGCTGTGCATTGCCTTTAGGCAACTACAGCTACTGAAGAAAAAATATGTGAATAAACATGCTATTTCATGCACCCCAGTCTCTGAGCAGCGAGAGACTCCAGGTGTTCCAGTGCTTTCCTGGGATTTGCTTTCCTTGGAATGAAGGTCAACTAAAACTGCGGTGCCTTTGGGATATATGGTTTTATTTTATCACACATATATACAACTTGAGCATAGGGTAGATGGGCTCCACAGATCTGGCCTCCCCATTAGGTTTCCAGGAAGATTGTCAAGGCACATCTTTGGGTCCAGCGCAGAGCAAGGCAAGCCTCTGTCTCCAGCTTCCAGTATCAACCAAAACTCTCTCACACAAAGAGCTTCCCTTGGCCTATTGTTCTCCATCCATTACTGAATTGCAGCTGGCAGCCTTCTCAATGAAGAACCTTTCAGGCTGACTTTGCCTATCCTAGGCTCTCTATTGTCACTAAAGGTCAAGGGTGCCCAGCAGTGGTTTATTATGTTCATTATCTTTTAAAGTGCATGTAGTTCTTAAATCTTTTCCAACATGGGCTTCTTATATTTAACACAGGTAACTTGCACCTTATGTGTGCTTAACATGCGCAATTTCAACTTTATGTGATTGAAGGCCAGCTGGTTGAAATCACATAAATTAAATGCACAGAAGGCAGAGAGCTTAAAATCGCTTTTTGTGCAGGGTTTTCCCAGCATGGAAAGAGCTTTTAATCTCTCAGACTTGCCTTCTGGGTGGAGGTTATACTGTTTAGTGTCCTGGCTCCAAATGTAAGGTTGCTTGCGCAGAGGCAGCTCCAAGGGTCTATATGTGTTTTTGTGTATACACATCATCCCTGGAATGTAACCCCTGCATAAAATGTGAGTTACCTGTATCTATTGTCTTCCAGTTTCTGGCAATTAAATATCAGGGGGTGGAAATGGAACAATATTTGATGCATATCAAATTCCAATTCTTCCTTCTAAATATTATCATAAGAAAAAGGCTTATAATGTGTTGATTTGTAGTGAGAGAAAAAGTTGGACTTATGAAATTCTTCTCTTTGCTGCTGAAGATACTTCTGAGCCCTCTAGCGTCAAGGATGCTGCAACCAGAGTCATTGAACGGCTTAAAGGGGTTGGGCTGACCCTTCTGATAAACAATGCTGGAATTGCAAGGATAAACTTAGTTATGGAAGCTGAGACACCGGAAGACATGTCTGAAGTGTACAAGACCAATGTGATTGGGCCCATGATGGTGAGCCAGGTAAGGCTACCTGGTTGTTCCTCCTTCACAGAGATTTCTTGTCCTGTTGCAGATCCCTTAATGTTGGGAAAGTAGGTAGCCTGATGTCACTGCTTCCTGGTGATGGGGTGATCGGCAGCTATGCCTTTTTCATGGAAAAAGGATATGGAACTAAGCTTGTAATAGCTGCATGAGAGAATAATATTTAACAGTGCAACCTTCGTGGTAATGGAGGTGATGGGGGAAGATTGAACCTGTTGAAGTAGGAGTTGTAGCTGTTATGTGCCCCCTTGGCTCAGTGCCCTGTGTGGAGGGAACTGCCTGCACTACCCTAAATCTGGCACTATGGCCAGTCTTCTCTACAGCATGTGCTGCTGTGTGCAATTCTTTTCTCTTCTTCTCCAGGCATTCCTGCCCTTGCTGAGGAAGGCATCTCTGGAAAGCCCCCAGAATGGGATGAGCTGCAGCAAAGCTGCCATTGTCAACATCTCTAGTGATGCTGGCTCCATCACAAATCTCTTCCTGTGGGAGAATGGACAAGTTGTCAATTACCGTTGCAGCAAGGTATCAACACATCACAGACAAGTAGTCAGTTTTGTGCAGTGTTCTTCAACCTTGGGACTTCAGCTGCTGTTGGGCTTACAGTGCCCTGTGCAACACTAATATCCAGCAGGCCCCACCACCTCTTGCCTTCCATTGGATGTCATTGCGGCGCCTAACGTTCTGCACTTGGTGCAACTGAACTGGTCATGCTCCCCTAGATACATCTTTGTCTCTGACAATTGAATAAGCGGGCTGAGGATTATAGGAGTTGTGGTCCAATAAAATCTGTGCATCCAATTTAAAGAACACTGGTTTAGTGGTCAGTTATCCAAGGGCCATGTTTCTTTTGCCTTGAAGGTGCTGGCCAGGTAATTATACATTTTTATATAAGTATTTACATATCTCCTGACCTTCATGACTATGGGCCAGTCTCCAGTTGGCTTTTTTTTGGGGGGGAGGGGAAGTTTCTCAAGAACCAAGAAGCTAGATAACCGCAAAGACTCATGAATGAACATTATTATCTGGCCTATTTTTGGCCCATTTTGGAACACTGCATTGGCTTTCCTGGCTGACTATCTTAGCGGGGTGACTGACAGAGTGACTATTTTGATGCTTCTGGATATTTCTGTGGTTTTTTATGATATTTTTGGTATTTTGCTTAAAAGACAAATAAGTTAAGGTATAATCATAAAAAGAGAATTCCCTGGATCGCTAGATCCAGGTTTGGGGCAAGTACTCTTTGGTGAGAGAACCCCAGCATGGATTTAAAATAACAAAATATGCAGTAACATAAAGCAGGGAAATATAGCTTGTTAGACCTTTAAAATACCCCCTTCTAAGTGGCTTCCAAAGTTACCCACTTCCTTTAGCATAGAAAAGACCAAACATTTGGTAAGCTAAAAATGGTTTACTTATAACCTCTTCAAAGGTCAGATTCATACAGCAGTAATAACACACAGGAAGTGAGAATTAGGTTCCTAAGTGGTGAGAGTTTCTAAATTATTTGTATAGAAATACAAAAGGTGGCTTGCTTAAGCCACACAGTCTGAGCTTGGAGCATCCAGCTTAGACCTCCTGACTAGTAGGTGGAATGGGGGAAAGTGGGAGAACAAAGAGCTTGATAACCCTTCGTCCCAAGGACTGACCTAGCTAAGCCTGGCAGGACAAGTTTCCTAATCTAGGGAAGGTCATAGCTGGTAAACCCACTGTAGATGGAAAGCGGTACAACTAGCCACAGAAACCACCTGTGTCTTTCGTGAAGGACTACATTGCAAAATCTACAGAAGTGCAGCATTTCAGTTGAATATTGGTTTGGGAAATGGAAATAAGATTGGTTCAAATTAAAATACAAAAGGGGGGGAATTATCCCCCAACCTTAGCTGTATCATTCAGCTACATGCTTCTGGTATGTCTCATTCTTAGGCTGCTCTGAATATGCTGACGCGGTGCCAGTCCCTGGGATATGCTAATGACAAAATCCTGTGCATTGCACTGCATCCTGGGTTTGTGCATACAGACATGACAGGTGGAGGGGTAAGTTATTTGTGTCAGAATCAGATCACCATACAAAGAGCATTGCAATTATCTAACTCGTTTGACCTACATTGAAATAAGGGTCAGGATGGATAATGAGTTTATTAACTTGTTTGTAGTTTCAAAAGAATTTTAAAAGACATTCTCTAGTAATATTAGAATAAAATTAAAAATAAGAAAGCCTTTGGTCTGATGATCCAATCCAGCAAGAAAATAGTCACACACACTGGTGGGCTACAATCCAGCATTGTGTTAGGAATGCTTAAGCCATTTAAAAATTCAACTCTCTGCTGAATTGTGGCTGGATCCACAACTCTGACCAGAAAGATGCCCCCGATAAGTCAAGAATCAGTCTATGGACTCAGCTACATTCATCACAATAATGTGATTTGAATGTGTTTTAAACATGCAACATCAGATGGTGCCAGAGAGTGAGAATTGTTTAACTCTCTTTGGAATTTTTTTCTTTTGGTGAAAACAATCTAATTTCTGACTCATTTACAGTGTTGTATTCCTGTGTTTAAAAGGGATGCGGGTGGAAAAGGGTGGCGCTGTGGGTTAAACCACAGAGCCTAGGACTTGCCGATCAGAAGGTTGGAGGTTCGAATCTCCGTGACGGGGTGAGCTCCCGTTGCTCGGTCCCTGCTCCTGCCCACCTAGCAGTTCAAAAGCATGTCAAAGTGCAAGTAGATAAATAGGTACCCCTCCGGCGGGAAGGTAAATGGCGTTTCTGTGTGCTGCTCTGGTTCACCAGAAGTGGCTTAGTCATGCTGGCCACATGACCCGGAAGCTGTACACCGGCCCCCTCGGCCAATAAAGCGAGATGAGCGCCGCAACCCCAGAGTCGGCCACGACTGGACCTAATGGTCAGGGGTCCCTTTACCCTTTACCTTTACTTTATTCCTGTGTTTAAATCCACCCTGTGAAGGTAATGCCAATTCCCTACTATTTATTTCCAGAGCTAATTGTCTGGACAAGGGCTATTGTGGCTGATAGCAACTGACAAGCGTTAAAAGCATACGGTGTTTCCTGACTATCATCATTTTGTGGGAAGGATTCAAGCACATGCCAGAACTCTTAGTTCTGATTAACTAAAGCGAATTAAAGGGTTCTGTTGTTCTTGTGAAACATAATCACTTTTAAAAAAAAAGAATCTGAATGTTTGTGGTTTGGAAAGTGATGGGGAGGTGTATTCAAAAGTGTGTGATGAATGAATTAATAACTGTTGGGAAGACATCTGCAAAGGAACAATATTACCAAGCTGAAGGGTTGGGCTTTGGTTTCAAAGTACAGAAAGTACAAAAGGCCATTTGATTTAGCATTTGTTTTTCAAGGTAGTTATTGACAGAAGAAAGTCTAGCCCGGTCTTGCTCAGAACTAAGTTCCCATTGCATTCAATGGGGCTTAAGGTAAAGGTAAAGGTACCCCTGCCCGTAGGGGCCAGTCTTGACAGACTCTAGGGTTGTGCGCTCATCTCACTCTATAGGCCAGGAGCCAGCGCTGTCCGCAGACACTTCCGGGTCACGTGGCCAGCGTGACATCGCTGCTCTGGCGAGCCAGAGCCGCACACGGAAATGCCGTTTACCTTCCCGCTAGTAAGCGGTCCCTATTTATCTACTTGCACCCAGGGGTGCTTTCAAACTGCTAGGTGGGCAGGCACTGGGACCGAAAGACAGGAGCGCACCCCGCTGCGGGGATTCGAACTGCCGACCATGCGATCGGCAACTCCTAGGCGCTGAGGTTTTAACCCACAGCGCCACCCGCGTCCCATTCAATGGGGCTTACTCCTAGGTAAATGGGGTTAGTGATTGCAGCCTGATTAGCTGGAGTGGGGATATTAGAAGTGCATTAAGAGGAGGGGAAGAAGACAAGGCAAGGTATGACAGATCTACTTAGGAGTATGCTCAAGTGAACACTATGGGAGCTGACTTTTGAGTAAAATAGTAAGGAAGGGAAGGGAAAAGAAATTTCTAGTTGACTTCTAGAAATTGGTGTTGTTGTGAAATGCTTGTGGAGCTCAAGGTGGTATGTGTGGTTCTTCCTCTCCTCATTTAATCCCCACAATAACCTGTGACATAGGTTAGGTTGAGACACAATGAGTGGTCCAGTGATCTTCATGGCCAAGTGGGAATTTGAACCCTGATCTCCCAGGTCCTAGCCTGACACTCGCACCATTGCACTACAATGGGTCATTAATGTCTTATTGGATCACCCTTATCCACAGATATAGAGAGCAGTCGTCCAGAATGCTTCTCTGTTTGTGTTTGATGGACGGTGCGTGAATGTTGTCCCCTGTACTCTCAGTTGATGTTACTTATGTTTTTTGACACTCTTTTTTCTTTTCTTTTCTTTTACTCACAAGTCCCTGTGTCACTGTTCTTTCTTTCCAGTTACTCACAGTGAATGAGAGTGTGCAAAGCATCCTGAAGACCCTTTCCCATCTCTCGGAAAAAGACACTGGGACTTTTGTGAATTGGCAGGGGGATGTACTTCCTTGGTAAACCCAATATATTTAGCTGCCTGATGTGGAGTAGCAAAGTGCCTCAGGGTGCACAGCCCCAAAGCGGATCACATTATTTTGACACCAGAGGCAGAAACACCCACAAGCTCCTCTCTGTCTCCCCCAGCAGTAAAAATGCAACAATAATAATATATTTTGCTTTTGTAGTTATATCAAGTTGTTGTTGGGGATTGGTTATTATCTGGAATGCTTGCATGGGCAGGTTATAAATAATAAAATTATTATCATCATCATGCTGAATTGTAGTGAAGTTATCCTTTTGTTTCTGATCTGTTAACAATAATAATTTATTCATTAGTTTTTCCAATAGAATGATATCCCACACACTTTGTACCAGTCGTCTACATTCCCCTCAGAGAGATTTTTCCAATGTCTAGCTGTAATAAGAGTAAATTCTACACAAATTCAGTGGGGAGTCCCTAAAGTGTTTGGATGGCACCTTGGGTTACAGATGCTTCAGGTTACAGACTCCGCTAACCCAGAAATAGTACCTCGGGTTAAGAACTTGGCTTCAGGATGAGAACAGAAATCGCGTGGTGGCGCAGCAGCAGCGGGAGACCCCGTTAGCTAAAGTGGTACCTCAGGTTAAGAACAGTTTCAGGTTAACAAAGGACCTCCAGAATGAATTAAGTTCTTAACCTGAGGTACCACTGTTTGTCTTTTTCCAGAAAGTCCTGCAGCCAAGCTGGTGTTAAATCTATTGCTCTGACTTCCTTTGGACCACCATCAGTGAGGCTGAGAGGGGATCTTGTCATCTGGGCAGCCCAGAACCTCCATACACACTGCCCAAGTTTGCACCCTGAGGTCCCTTGGGCAGTAGTGAAGGGAGACAGAGGCGGGGTGCAGCAGGTGTTGGGGGATCTCAGGGTGTCATGCAGGGTATGTAGGGTGGCAGGGGAGCTGACACTTTCCGTCCCTCAACAACTTTGACTGATCTCCTTTAAAAAGCTCAAGAACTTTGGTCCCCTAAAAATCCCAACTCTGTCCCACGTTAGGGGGGGTTGAAAGCCACTGCTGGCCTGGACGCTGCTGACTTCACCCCCGGAAGTGCGCTCGATTGTCTCTCAAGACAAAAAGATGCCAACAACAACAATTTTGTTGGATAATTCACCGCAAAATTTGGAGAAGGGCAAATGAGCAAGAACTGTGAATTAGACCATTTATTCCCCATCCCTACCCAGCAACACACTTGAGGACAACCTAGCTTAGCAGGTGTAGGCAAGGTAGTTTAGTGGGCCCAGGGCGAATGGCAGGACTGCTGCCATCAACCCACCCACAGCATGTGCCACTTTAAGTGGCTGCCTCATCATGTCTAGTGTTAAGTCCAGCCCTGGATGTATCCCTCAGCAGATTATTTCTTTATTCAATACATATTTTAAGGCTGTCTTTTAAAGGTTGTTCATTATATCTCAGATCGGCAGCATGAAAAGTGTGTTATTCCATGCTGTCACAATGTAAATAATATGGAATTTATCTCATCTCTCTCATCACTGCCAGCATGTACTGTATATAATTTCTGTTGCTTATCCCAAGCTGCAGGTGTGAGCAGTAGACTGGGGAAAACCAACCCTGTCCAGCTGTACTGCCACCACCTTTGTAGTTCCCCAGTCCTAAGCCGGGGGAACTTAGGTTGTTCTGGACAAGACAAGACAAGAAAGACAAGAGCGGAACAGTTCACTCACTGTCTTTTGAGCCCCAAGCCACAAAGGAGTCAGTCGTGTGCAACCTAGAAGCCAAGGTACCAGATTCAGAGCTTACATCAAGAAGTCACACAAGGAATACGAGACCTGGGAGAAGAGCTAGTGGAAGAGGACTGGAAGAAATTTAAAGATTACCTGCAAAAGCATTGCAAACTGTATGAATGTTAAAAAGATGCAGGATACAAAGATAATATGGCATTAGTGACATAGTTGAAAGGAATATGTAAAAAATGTTTCAGAAGAATCAGGGTGAAAAAGTTAGAGTAATATTATGTCAAATTTAAATAAATTGATATAAAGGGAAAAATCGGAGACATAATAGTTGAAATGTATATTACAGAATAAGATTTGAAAGAGGGTAAGGCACTGCTGAATATGATTGTGTAAAAGGGAACACAGAAAAGGGAGATGTGAGGGAGTCTGGAAGGAGGGTTATGAAAACAAGAAGTAAGAAATCGGATTTTTATGGTTGTTTTTTTATGTCTTTTTTCTGTCTACTTTTTATGTTTTCTACTGTATTTTTCTATTTTTACTTGATTGTGATAATGGTTTTCTCTTTTCTCTTGTTTTGATTGTGAAGTTTGTTCTATTGTTTAAAACTTTAATAAATATTTTTCAAAAAAAAAAAAAAGTCACACAAGGAATAAATGGAACACTTTATTAAGGAGGTTACAAACATAGAATAAGAACTCTTTATCAATAAAATACAGTTAAGAATGTCCAATATAAATATATATTTGGAAAGCCAAGTACAGAACAAAGTAAGAAAGGTAGCTTGCCTCATCCTAATACTTACAATCAGAATCACAGACTCCACAAGCAAGTTGTTTCCAGGCACACGTGGTTCTTGCAGTGCATGATTCTTCATCTGAGCAGGGCCATTAGACCCATGTCAGAGACAGGTTTATATACAAAAAGGCCTGCATACAGAGGGGTGGATTTTCCTTCAAATCTGGCCAAGTGATGGAATCTTCTCTCAGCAAAAAATGACAAAAACTACAATATTCATGTCACAGTTGGCTGTGGTGGAATTTTAGGGAAGTATGTCCCCATTACCATTTATTTCAATGCAAAGGAAACACAATGCAAATGGAGAAAAAGTGTGATCCACTGTGTATTGTTTGTGGAGTGAAAACTGCAGTGAATACAGATCATATTTGTGGAAATGATTTCCTTTCCAGACATGAGACAAATAAGCAAATATTGGCCAATTTCCACTCCCAATTCCATTTCCATCATAATTATTCAATATCCTGTCTCATACTGTACATTTTAAAGCACCTTGGATGTGATGGTTAAAGAGAACTCCAGGAACCGCTTTATGACAAGTTGCCTATTCTAAAAGGGTTAGCTGGGCACAACTAGAGGAGCCACCTCTTTTCATCAGTTGGGTTGCAGATCTTTCCTTGCATTGTTTAGTCTGTTATCAGCAGTTTAGGCACTGCTTTCCTTTTGAGTGAAGACAGAGGCAAAGTACCGTATTTTTCGCTCTATAACACGCACCAGACCATAACATGCACGTAGTTTTTAGAGGAAGAAAACAAGAAAAAAAAATATTCTAAATGAAACAGTGGATGTATGATTTTTGTGGTTCATGCTGTGGCCACAGACATGTGATCTGACAGTGCGTTTGGAGTAGCCCAATGCAAAAATCCTGAGGATCCATGTGGATCCATGCTTTGTAACCACGTTTTTGCACCACTGCGACCCTAGGCAACAGTGGGTGCGTGATTTTTTTGGTGCAAGATGTAGCCATGGACATGCTATGTGATCTGATGGTGAATTTGGGGTGACCCAGGGCAAAGATCCTGTGGAGCCATGCTTTGTAACCACGTTTCTGCACCTTTGCAGCCCCAGGCAACAGTGGGTGCGTGGTTTTTTTGGTACAGACTGTAGCCATGGACATGTAATGTGATCTGATGGTGAATTTGGGGTGACCCAATGCAAAAATCCTGAGGATCCATGTGGATCCGTGCTTTGTCACCACGTTTTAAATGGGGAGGGAAGGAAAAACACAGAAGGGACAAGGAGCACAAGAGGGGTGTGCGGAGAAGCAGCTGGCTAAGAATGCAGGAGAGGGGTTTTACCGGAGGGAGGAAAGGAAGGCAAAAGTCCCCCCCCCAGCCAGCCCTCTCTCTCTCTCTCTCACCTGCATGTTTTTGGGCTGCCTGCGAGTCCCTAGAGCACGGAGAGGAGGGGGTGGTGGGCTGGAGCCTGCTCGCAGTGTGACAAGGAAAGAATTAGAAGGAAGGACTCGATCCTTTCCTTAACCCTCTGCTTGCCAGGAGAGCAGGGGATTCCCTGCTCTTTGTTGAGTTTGAGCAAACGCAGCAACAGAAGCGGGAGGGCAGTAAGACCCTGAGGCAGAATGCAGGAAAGCAGCAGCTTCCGCCTTCCCTCTGCCCGCCCGATCTTATTTTTGCCTGATTTTTGCCTGTTTTTGCCCCTGCAAGTCAGCTCCAGGGCCCACACATTCGCTCAATAACACACACAGACATTTCCCCTTACTTTTTAGGAGAAAAAATCTGCCTGTTATAGAGCGAAAATTATGGTAGGTGTTGAGCAATTCCGCCTTCTCTCTGTCATCCAAAGCATTTCTCCATCTTCTCCATGCAGAGGACATACTACTTGCTTGTTCTTCTTCTTGCTTCAAACATAGCTGAAGAAACCTCTTTTTAAAAATTAATTTTAACCTATCTTGCAAGCCTGGGATCATTATGAGCTTTGGCCTGCCTGACATTCAGCCTGCAACTGTTGGCTCCTCGTGTATACTCCTCCTTCATGATTTCTGCTTTCTTCCATTTCTTATACAAGCCCTTCTTAAATCTTAGCTTTTCTGCAAGCTCTGTATGCAGCCACATTGGTTTCTTTAGATGCCTCCCACTTTTCTTTCTTATTGTCTGCAATATTTCACCCATCCATCTGGGATTCCCTCCTCTCTGAGTATTTCTGACCGTGGGATCTCACTTAAGCTTTTTGAAATCAGCCTTCTTAAAGTCCAGAGTGCATGTCTGACTGCACTCTTGTCTTTTTGTACCTGGTCTGTTGCCAGTTTGTCAGACACAGGATCTGAGCAGAGTCAGGGGGCAAGCACTTTATGTAACCTTTTGGGGGAGGACTTGAGTGCTTAAAATATCCATCCTTGGGTGCCACTGAGCTTTCTTAGTCAGACACAGGAAGATGAGAACTTCTAAATTCAGTCTGCCAACTTCCCTCCCCCATTTATCCTGTTTCCTTCTATTACTGTGAGACTCAATAAAAACCAGTCTGCCAGGTGGGAACTTGGCAAGTTACTGGGCTGTTGCCAAATGCAGAACACGAGCTGACAGAAGAACAAGCAGCTTATGTAAGCCTTGCTAGATAAGTTGAGAGCTACATTTGGTGCTGCGGTTGGGCTGACAAAGGGATTACTCTGTTCAGCGCAGGCTGGGAAGAGAGATGGCTGCGCTGAATGCACGCAGAGTCCTGGTGACTGGGTCCAATCGGGGCATTGGCTTGGAGCTGGTTAGGCAACTGGTGCGGAAAAACAACTGTCCAGAACAGATCTTTGCCACCTGCCGGAATCCAGATGGACCACTTGCCCAGGTGAGCCCCAGGCTGTGCATTGGGATGAGCATAGAAACAAGGGGATTCCCCATGATGTCCAGAAGATAGTGCCAAGGGCAAGGCTTTTTATATTTTCCATTCTTAGAGTGAGGATGGTACCTTAAGCACAGATTAGTAACCCCTTTTTACACACACACCCCTTTTCTTTGCAGAATTAAGAGAGGAGTTGGAAGGAAAATGGTTGATTCCTTTCACCCAGTGATTTGAAGAGCATTTAACAGAATTGTCTCAATGGGTGTTGGAAATTACAAAAATAACTCAGATTAAACATTCCGAAATACATACCATATGATGAATATCACTAAATAGTCAAACACATTAACTTCATTTTCTGTGTCAAATTGCTTAGAACTGCAATATTTCATCTTCTTAAATTATGAATGGGTGGGTGCGAGGTTTAAAGAAGTTTCATCTCAGCATTTTCTTGTATAAATCATATAATTGTACAACTGGAAGCAACCACGAGGGTCCTCTAGTTCAACCCCCTCCAGTGCAGGAATCTCAACTAAAACATGCTGACAGATGGCTATCCAACCTCTGCTTAAAAACCACAAATGAAGAAAAATCCACTACCTTCTGAAGGAGTCCATTCCACTGTAGAACAGCTCTCACCATCAGAAAGGTCTTCGTGATGTTTAGTTGGAATCTCATTTCTTGTAACTTGAATCCATTGGTTTGGGTCCTACCCTCCGGAGCAGAAGAAAACAAGATTGCTCCATCTTCCATATAGCTTGTGTGACCTTAAACCCACCCAAGGACTTGCCACTCAGAGTAGATCTCTTTATAAAGCACAAGTTTAAGCTGACATACTTTCTGCAGGACACTTTTGCAAATGCTCTCCATGCTGAAAACCAAAACCAGATGGGACTTGATCTTTTCCATTCCTATCCCATTTCAAATAGTTCAGACTTCAGGACTTGCTGTTCCATCCTAAGTCTGTACTCCCTGTATCTTTCAGGACTTGAAGAATTTGGCTGCCAAGCACCAGGGAGTGGAAATCATCCCACTAGGTATGTGTTTGTCACCCCCTCCTCAAATTCACTTTTCCCACAGTGATATGGACAACAGTTGATATTCAAGGTCATTTCAAAATATTACTTTTTAGCAAATAAAAAGTGCATTCCCTATTTTTGTTGTTTTGTTAGATTTGTTTAAGGTTTTATTGAATTATAAAAGAAAAAGAATATAACAAATAAATCCAAGTACTCTGTCATATTACAGAACCACTTATCAAGCTTTAACAGCTGAACAAGATCAACAGAGGAACACAATTTTTGTAAATCATAGTTTTGTGGTCTAAATTCATGCATTGGTACAGGCAAAGAACATTGCAGGTCATTCGGAGTAGTGTAAGTGATAAATTATGCATAAGTAAGTTTCACTGAGTTCAATGGAGCTTACATCCAAGTAAAGTAACTTAGATATAAGTTAGATTAATTAGTGATAGATTTGAAAATAGTTTCTGAGGTCCTTCTCCAAGGGTCTTCTGCTGGTTCCCTCATTCTGAGAAGCGAAGTTACACGGAACTAGGCAGAGGGCCTTCTCAGTAGTGGTGCCCTCCCTCTGGAACACACTCCCTTCAGATGTCAAGGAGATAAAGAATTACATAACTTTTAGAAGACATCTGAAGGTAGCCCTGTATCAGGAAGTTTTTAATGTTTAATGTTTTATTATGTTTCAATATATGCTGTAAGCCGCCCAGAGTGGCTGAGGAAACCCAACCAGATAGATGGAGAATAATAATAATAATATGCAAATCACTGACTGATATCATACCAAAACATCTACAGGACTCTGGCCAATAAGGAGACAATAACTATAGGAAAAGTTATAGATGGACTTCGTTTAATTCTCAAGAACCAAATATGAGATGTACATAAGTATTATAGAGAAGATCCTTCTAAATATTATCAACACAAAAAAGGCTTCTGTTGATCTGTGACAAGAAGAGAAGGGTCTTACCTAAAAAATGGGATTTATTCTTTGCTGCTGTAGATACCTGTGACCCATCCAGTATCAAGGCTGCAGCAACTAAAGTCACCAAGCGGCTGAAAGGATCTGGGCTGAATCTTCTGATTAACAATGCTGGGATTTTAAAGCTAAGCTCTCTTGAGACAGAGACACCAGAGAACATGTCTGAGGTGTACAAAACCAATGTGATTGGCCCCATGATGATGAGCCAGGTAAGGCCATCCTATTGTACCTTCTTCACAGAACCTTCTGGCCAGGTTGCAGGGCTCCTTGTGTTTCGAAACTGTACTGTTTTCATAGAGAAAGGATGCAGAACAGAACTTTAACAGCTTCATGAGAAACTGACATTAAAAGTGCATCCTTTGGGCTTGTGGAGATCATAGGGGAAGGTTGTACTTGTTGCAGCTCCCTTCTGGACGAACCATGAGAGAACTCTGGTATACCACCAGCAAGTAACTGCTGGGCTCACGGTTTCACTCACACGCTGAACTTTGAACTGGTGACACAATGCCCAGTCTCTACATGAAGAATGCAACTGTGTGCAATTCTTTTCTCTCCTTCTCCAGGCATTCCTGCCCTTGCTGAGGAAGGCATCTCAGGAAAGCCCCCAGAATGGGATGAGCTGCAGCAAAGCTGCCATTGTCAACATGTCCAGTGAAGGTGGCTCTATCACAACTGTCTACATGTGGCATTTGGCACACGTGGTCAATTACCGTTGCAGCAAGGTGTGGACACAGAAGTACTGCAAGTTAGAAGCTAGAAATTGATTTTTCTGTTAATTTCACCTGATGGTGTTGACAATAGTCTTAAAATAATGCAGTCCACAATATGCCTCCCTGACCCTTGCCTATCTTGGTAAGTAAATATCTGGCCATAGGAGGGATCCGGCCCCCACTACGGAGGACCTGGGACCCTAGAATAGATGTCTGACAACTGCCCCCGCTCACGTGAGCACCTGAGATGTGATCAAACAAAATTATTTATTTAAATTAAGCAACAATGGCAGGAACAGGAAGACATGGACAACCCCACAATGGTACTCTCAACATGAAAATCTTCCTACATCCCCTCATTGTCTAGAGGTGGCAATGAATGTATTCGGCTTCACTCACAATTAACCCAAAGAGTCAAACTATTAGCTGGTGTTCGTTCCTTGCTCCACAGAAATGTAAAAAAGAAAGTGCATTAAAATACATTAGCCAGTAGATGGCAGCAAAAAGGCTTCCCTAGGTTCCTGCAGCATTATCAATAAGAACAGCAAACCAAGACCCACGCTATTAGAAACCATCCATGGTTGTAAATGGCGTTCAAAACAAAACAAAACAAAACAAAACAAAACAAAACAAAACAAAACAAAACAAAACAAAACAGGAACTCACTTGGAATTCAGTCTGAAAGAATGAGCCAACTTATTACTGATTTCTGCCAATAGAAATTACAGCATAGAATCTCTACTGCAAAGCTTATGTCATTCATTCATTCATTCATTCATTCATTCATTCATTCATTCAAAGAAAACAATATAGTTTCCAAAAACAAAACAACAAAATTAGAAAATACAATATCAATGTTAAGATTTAAACAAAAAATAAAAACAACCTGTTAATAGTGAGAGCATTAAAACATATCTCAGTAATACAGAAGCCTCCTTTTTAAACTCATACCATCCTGTGGCACTAGGTTGCATTCTAGGAATGGACGGATCTTTCAATGTCGGCTTTTCTCATTCTTTCATCTTTTTTCAGTTTCCCCCATTTAACAATAATTATTATTATAATTATTTATTTATACCCCACCCATCTGGCTGGGTCTCCCTAGCCACTCTGGATGGCTTCCAACAGTGGTCTGTTAAACATTAAAAGCTTCCCTAAACAGGGCTGCCTTCAGATGTCTTCTAATTTCCCATCAGTTTGTGGTTTTTAATATGCATTTTTGTGTACGACTTCCCAAGCAATCCCACATAATATAACACACTTTTATACATTATTTTCACCACCAAAAGCATTATTGCATGCATTCTCCCTAATATATGCTTTATGGTACTCATGCTTTAATTGGACAACTGCATCACAAAATTCAGAGAATCACAAATGTCAAAGGATTGCTGCATTCCAGTTTAAATATTGGTTCAGGAAATCAGACAGGTTCACATTAAAATGGAGAATGGGGGCAAAATTCTCACCAATCCTTAGCTGCATCTTTCATCCCCTTGCTTCTGATATGTCTCTTTCCTAGGCTGCTCTGAACATGCTTACACGGTGCCAGTCCCTGGGATTTGACAAAGATGAAATCTTGTGCATTGCGTTGCATCCTGGGTTTGTGCAGACAGATATGGGAAGTTCAGTGGTAAGTGATTTGTGGAGGAATCTGAACTCTAGGCATATATACTGTATTTAACTTATTTGGCCTTACATTGAAGTAAGAATCAAGGTGTATAATTAGTTTCAAAATCAGCAAGGAAGACATGAATGGCAATAACCCCCCTCCCTCTGGTGCTTCAAAAGAATATATTTTTTTTAAAAAAAGTTGAAGAAAGCCATTGGACCAATGGTCTACTCCAGGAAGATAGAGTGGCTACACACTGGCTACAATCCAATATGTTATTAGGTGTGCTTAAATTCAAACTCCAGGTCTCTGCTGAATTCTGGCTGGATACCCAAGCATCGTAGAAGGATACTCCAGGTAACTTAAGGTTTGCAGTGCTCTACCATTATCTGCAGATGTTGCTCCCTGGGCAAGGAGTTTATTCTCTTAGTTGTTGCGGCTGATAGCTATTGCTAGATGGATAAGCCTTGTCCATAAAAACTAGTGGCTATCAAAACATCCTTTGCCACTGAATAACTATGTTACACTACATTCTGCTTTATAGATGCCTTCAGAAAATCAGCAGGGAAGACATAAGGGGCAATAACCTTCTCTTTCTGTTCCCCTCCCTGCAAGCAACTGGCATTCAGGTTAAATTGCCTCTGGACATTGCCACATGCGTAATCATAGACATGTTGTTGTTGTTGTTTAGTTGTTTAGTTGTGTCCAACTCTTCGTGACCCCATGGACCAGAGTACGCCAGGCACCCCTGTCCTCCACCGCCTCCCGCAGCTTGGTCAAACTCATGCTGGTAGCCTCAAGAACACTGTCCAACCATCTTGTCCTCTGTCATCCCCTTCTCCTTGTGCCCTCAATCTTTCCCAGCATCAGGGTCTTTTCCAGGGAGTCTTCTCTTCTCATGAGGTGGCCAAAGTATTGGAGCCTCAGCTTCAGGATCTGTCCTTCCAGTGAGCACTCAGGGCTGATTTCCTTCAGAATGGATAGGTTTGATCTTCTTGCAGTCCATGGGACTCTCAAGAGTCTCCTCCAGCACCATAATTCAGAAGCATCAATTCTTTGGCAATCAGCCTTCTTTATGGTCCAGCTCTCACTTCCAATCATAAACGTATCTCCCATGAATTTGGCTCCCTAGGGAAAGAAAATCAGCTGCTAGTGGGACAAAGAAAATGGAACAAGAATTCTACCTGTCCCCTAGGAGAGTTTGGTGCCAGATACCCGTGCTGTTTGTCACTCTTTTTAAAAAATATACTCACAAGTCCTTGTGTCACTCTAGTCTGTTCTTTTTCCCCCCAGGGACAAGCCCCACTGACATTGGATGAGAGTGTGCAAGCAATCCTGAAGACCCTTTCCCGTCTCTCTGAGAAAGACAATGGCACTTTTGTGAACTGGGAGGGAAACACCCTTCCTTGGTGAGCCCAAGATATTTTGCTGCCTGAAATGGAGCAGCCAGGTGAACAGTCCCTGAACTGGGTCAAGTTATTTTTGGCACCAGAAACAGAAAATCTGACCTCTCCCCCTGCCTGGAAGAACAAAAGCAATAAAAATAAATCACATAACTAACAATCTGCTGCCCTTTCATGACACCCCAAATCAATTGCCTGAGATGACCACCCCACTCAACCTAACTGCCTGCTTATTTACATAGTAGGGATGATGCAGAAATTAAATTCATTTCACATTTAAAGCCAAATCTATCTAAAACCTTATGAAACAATGTGAGAATGGAAACACAGCCATGTTTTGTGATGCTGTTCTTCAAAGCAGTTTACAAAAAAACATATACACCTACATACATATACACATAACAGTGCATATATTAAAAACAAAAAAAATTCCTTCCAGTAGCACCTTAAAGACCAACTAAGTTAGGTGCTACTGGAAGGAATTTTTTTTGTTTTGACTATGGCAGACCAACACGGCTACCTATCTGTAACTGGAACTATGGAAGTGCATATATTGTGAAGGTAACATGCAAAAATGTATATATGAGTCAAAACTCAGCTTAACCCACCCCACAAAGTTGTTGTGTGAATAACCTAGGGAAAAGGAGACCCACAAATGCCACCTTGAGCCCACCTTGAACCCCTTGGTGAAAGGTTGGGATGTGTGTAAATGTAACACTGAAAAATAACGAATACTAATAACAATAATAATAATAATGCATCTCTTGTATCTGTCTGTGCCCAAATTTCAATTGAGGGAGCAGGGCAGGTTTGGAATAATGAAAAAAGCCCAACTTAAAAATCAAAGAATAATGAAATTGAGACACAGCCAGGATGTTCAGGTGTATAAACATTGGACTTTACTTCTGGATTCTCAGCAAATCCCACATGTAGCTGTTTGCTGAGATAGGCTTGCCTGGGTGGGGTCAGGGGCAGATTTAGGGCAGTGTGAGTGGTGGGCATGCACTGGGCACTGAGCTGAAGGGATGTCCTCTCAAAGCCCAGTAATTGTGGACACTGGACTTTGGGAAAGAAGGAGGCATGAGGGCTCTTGCAGGGTTCTAGAGTCCTCCCGTATTCTTCTCAAAGCCTAGTTCATACTTTCTCAGCTTTGGGAACAAGGTGGGAGGGCTCTAGAATGTGGGGAAGGGAGGTTGCGTTACAAGATTGTATTGGGTCCCATATAAAATAACACAACCCCAAACAACTTTGGTAAAAAGTGTCAAAACTCTTAGAGCTTAGCCACACTTACCTTTCCTCTGCTTTTCCCAGCACAGTCTGCAATATAAAACTGTGTGTCCAATTGCCCCTTTTTCTCCAGAGCTTTCCTCACAAAAGCCCACTCTTTAAAGCTCAGTCGGAGAAAACAGGAATCTGTGGAAAATCCGAATTGATGTTTGCTTTAACTGAACACTAATGAGCAGGTTTTTGCAGGGAAAGGTCAGGGCAAAAAAAACCACAAAAAACAAAAAAAAAACACCGCAAACAAATGCGCAGACATGGAGTATTGAAGCACAGACTTCTGCCTGGAAAGAGCAGGGGTAAAAGGTAGTTGTGAATAAGCCCTTAATGAACTACAGTACAGTACTCTGTTTGCCATTACAGTGGTACCTTGGGTTACATACGCTTCAGGTTACAGACTCTGCTAACCCAGAAATAGTGCTTCAGGTTAAGAACTTTGCTTCAGGGTGAGAACAGAAATTGTGCTCCAGCGGCATGGCAGCAGCAGGAGGCCCCATTAGCTAAAGTGGTGCTTCAGGTTAAGAACAGTTTCAGGTTAAGTACGGACCTCCAGAACGAATTACCGTAAGTACTTAACCTGAGGTACCACTGTATTACCTAGCTTTGGGTTGTCTTGCTCTTGCTCTTTGGGGGGGGGTGACTCAGGGCCATTTCACACACTGCACTGATCAGGTCAGGGCTCCTTGACACGCATACCTATTTTAAAACATTTTAAAGCAGAGGTGAGGAACCTATCTAGCTCCATGAGTCAGATCCTTATCAGGATTGGTGTGACAGGCTGAATTTCACAGGTGGCTGGCCACCTGTCAATCACCTTTGTGATCAGAAAGGGGTTTTCATCAAATCCTGCTTAATGCAGCAGCATTTAACACCCCCAATCATCAGCTCATGAGTGGGGGGAATTAAATCCTACTGCATTGGTTGCACACACCAGTATCCTGCCAATGCAGCCAAGTCTCTGAGGGACTTGGTTAACCTTGGACAAACGTGCTCTGGCCCAGGGGTGAGAAACCTTTGGCTCTAGTGCCTACATCTGATATGCAAATGACAGTGGGGATGGAGGGAAGCAAAAACTGCCCTTCACCGACTGACTTCTTCCAACTCCTTTCATTCTTTTCTTTTTATAATAATAATAATAATAAATTTTATTTATATCCCGCCCTCCCCAGCCGAAGCCGGGCTCAGGGCGGCTAACAACAATAAAACAGTACAAAAGTACAGCATAAACAACATTCTAAAATCATTCATTATAAAATTAATTAATTCAAGCCACTGGCAACCATTGGGCCAGAGCTCCGCGAAGATTGCCGAGGGAGGGAGTCAGGCTGTGCCCTGGCCAAAGGCCTGGTGGAACAGCTCTGTCTTGCAGGCCCTGCGGAAAGATGTCAAGTCCCGCATTTTCATACCACAAAACCGCAATGCATTTTCATACTGCCTTTCTTCAAAACCACAATTTTAAAATATTAACACAAATGAACAGTACAAAATATTCTCACGTCTACTTCAGGAGCTGCCAGCACCAGCTTTGTGGCCTGGACTTCTCCACCTCTATCTTCCCTTGGGACACACAGGTCTTAAGGAGCCCCAGGGACGATGGTCTTAAGTAACCATGACTGGTCCTAGACATTTTACTGCTGGCGCTGAAAAACTAAATGACTCTCCTCCCTTCCATTCCAAATACAGAAGCTGACTGTGTTGGCAACTGAATCTTACTTCAGCACTGGGGATGGGACAGCATCTTCCACTGCATCTGAAGGCAGCCAAACACAGTGAGGTTAAGCTGGAAGTTGGAAGCCAGTTTGGCATCCCTACAAGCAGGTCTGTGCAGAGCTTGTCTGAAGCCCTAGTCTGATGCTACACACTAGTATGCAGTAACACAGGTCCAGATTTTACTATCAAAGACTTGCAGTGCGTACGGACAGGCATTTCGCCCATGGTCGTTTCACCCATTAAGTCCCTGGTCGTTTGAGGGGCACATTCTTGACATGACAGTGTAAGTCCAGCAGGCCCTAGCGGGGGGGCCCATCCAAATTAGCCCTCCAAGGCTTGGGCCAAGCATACCTAGCTGCCTCCCACCACTCTTCATGGGCCTGCCTCCAAAGTCAGCCTGTCTAGACTGCATCACTTCAACTGTGCATGAGAACTCCCCAAACGTTTCCAGACTTTCCAAGTGTCCATATTTTCCAAAGATGTCCCCGATTTAGGATCACGGAATGCCTCTTTTCTTTAGGAGGTTCCTATTTTCATTGGAAGGGACGCGGGTGGCGCTGTGGGTAAAAGCCTCAGTGCCTAGGGCTTGCCGATCGAAAGGTCGGCGGTTCGAATCCCCGCGGCGGGGTGCGCTCCCGTTGTTCGGTCCCAGCGCCTGCCAACCTAGCAGTTCGAAAGCACTCCTGGGTGCAAGTAGATAAATAGGGACCGCTTACTAGCGGGAAGGTAAACGGTGTTTCCGTGTGCGGCTCTGGCTCGCCAGAGCAGCGATGTCACGCTGGCCACGTGACCCGGAAGTGTCTCCGGACAGCGCTGGCCCCCGGCCTCTTGAGTGAGATGGGCGCACAACCCTAGAGTCTGTCAAGACTGGCCCGTACAGGCAGGGGTACCTTTACCTTTACCTTTATTTTCATTGGAGAAATGTTGGAGGGTATAGAGTTATCCAACCCTCGAGCCATCTGAAGGCAATTCTGTACAGGGAAGTTTTTTAAATGTTTTATTATGTTTTTATATATGTTGGAAGCTGCCCAGAGTGGCTGGGGCAGCCTAGTAAGATGTGTGGGGTAAAAATAGTAAAATTATCATTCTGGAATGGGGCATCCCTATTTTCATTGGAGAAATGTTGGAGGGTATGCATTCCCCTACACAGAAAACCTAGGTTGTCAGGGAGGAAGCCTAGCTATAACCCTTCCCTCAGACTCTGGAAAAATATTGTGCGTATAGGTCTGCCCAGCTGGCTATTGTGCTTTGCGAAGGATCCCTGTTGATGTCAGAATGGAACTGTCCAAGTTTTAGGCCTTGTGTGGTTACTAAGTTGTGGGCCTGGTTAACACTATCTGCTTGGTGACAAGCTGTGAAAGGAAAGAGTGTTGATGGCTTTAATATTTATAGAAGGGGGTATGGATCAAGTAACACCATTTTGATTGGGCTGGGAAGCAAGAGGCTCTGATTGGCTGGAGATGCTAGTCAGTGAAGAAACGGCAGTTAACTGTTGGGAAAGTCAGTTGATGAGGGAGATTTGAGCAAACACCAGAAGCAACTGAGGGGAGAGCAGGTAGCTGAGCTCTGGAGATGAAGCTATTCTTACCCAGCTCGGTAGCTATTCTTTGCTGGTGATATTCAGAAGAAGGGAGCTGGTGGCTGTAGTAGGCCAAGTGGCTGCTCTGTGTAAAGGCCTTAGCTGAAGAAGGCTGTGCAATCAGGTTTTTTAAATCAGCAGCCAGAACTACAGCCAGAGGAACTTTGGGGCCACAGGCAGGTTGTCCCCAGCACAGTGCCAGATTTATGTATAAGCTAAACAAGCTATAGCTTAGGGCCCCATTCTCTTGGGTCCCCCCAAAAAATTGAAAGGAAAAAAACCTGGATGTACATTTCCAAAATATAAGATAAAATAAAATAAAACCTACATACAGCAACAGTGTTTTGTGTTGTGTAGGTCCATAAATTACCATATAGCATATATTCAACGCAAAAATTTGTTGTTGACAAAGGACAGCTGGACATATAAAGGGCCCCATTACCTTCAGTAGCTTTTGGGGCCTCATCAAACCTGAATCCGGCCCTGTCCCAGCAACTGGACTGGGTTGTGACGTGTAGATTTGGCTGGAGTGGAGACTTTGGGAAATTGGACTGAGATAAAAGCCACTTAGAGGCTAGTGTCCATAATGGTATCTTAACTGCTTAGAAATTGTAATTGTGTTCATTTAAAATGCCTTTATAAATATCAGTGTCCTGTCATGTATCCCTTTAGTAAACATAATTTAGTTCATCCGATGTTGGTGTCCATTTCATACCTACGGTAATTGTATTTTATCATGGTTGGAGGCAGCTTCAAAGGCATTCCAAGGAAATGGTAGAGGTAGAAAAGGGTCACATTGAGGAACTCTTAAGTTTTGGTGGCAGGGAGTTTGATAGACCCTGCAATATAAAAAATTAAGATGCACAAATTCCTAAACTGAGACTGAGGGGCTACTTTTCTTTTCGGTTGTGGCAGCAGATGAATCAGTTCTTCCCATGCAGACAAATTGCATTTTCTACACAGGATTTTTTTAAATGGAAGATGATCAGGTCAAGTGAAGCCTTGATTGTATTATTTTACTTTTTTGCAAACCACTTTGAGGTTTTTTAAATAATCAAGCAGTGTATAAATGTTAGAAATAAATAAATAAAATGAAGAGCAAACAACATGAGAGGGTTGCCCGCCTTTTCATTTGACCCCTGCAGGTGTGACCAGCACTGATACCAACTGGAGAAAGAGTACTGCACTTTGCTGTAGGTAGCAGTGTGAGGGGAACCAGGAACCAAGAGCTCCCAGATGACCCAGTAGCCCGGGCCAAAGAGGAAGTCAGAAGAACACAGGGCAAACCAGAAGCTAGGATCAAGAAGCAAGCAAACAAATAAAGTAAGTAAATATAACTAATTGTATTTTATTTACTTGCAGGTATATAAACTGCTTCACAATCAAAACTTCTCAAAGTAGTGTAGAATAAAATCAAATATAAAATATGAAAGATTACAAACTCAGTAACTGAACACATTCAAACTATTTCTATGATTATACAGTTGTTATTCCATGAAATGACTAGGTCTTTAAAAGCCTTCTTTAAAAACAAAAAAATCAATAGCTGCCTAAATATCAAAATGTGTGGCATTTGTCTAATTTCAGTTGGTAAATCAGATTAGTTACGTTTCACTATTCTAATTAGTGTTGTGTGTAATTTTGTTCATAGATCAGCATTAAACTTATATTTTTAATTATGTGTAGATCTCCCCAGAAAAAGGAACCAGTGTTCCAACACATATTGACCTATAAGAAATCTGCTTAGCTAGCACTTTTGAGAACAAGTTTTTCCCTTTTGCATTTTTTTCAGGATTGAGAAGACCCTTACATTGTGTATCACTCTGAGACTGTGTTTGTGAGAAGGCACAATAGTGACACAAGACAAAAACAACTAACAGACAGGCTAGGTCATATAAAGCAACCAGAAGGAATCTCTGCCACACAGAGCAGCTAGAAGGAAGTTTTAATATTTTCAGCAGAACTTGTTGCATTTATTGAAATTGAAGTTCATCTATTCAGGTATTTGGATTGCCCGTGGTGCTGGTTTCCCATTGCAGTGAGGACAATAACATTGTGCTTTCACCAGGGAAGGGTTTCCCCATCGAGGTTTACAAAAGTGCCAGTGTTTTTCTCTGAGAGACACGCAAGGGTGTTTAGGATCTCTTTCACACCCTCATCCACTTTCACTGGGGCTAGTATACCCTGGAAAAGGAGAACAGGTAAGCGATATATCTCTTACACTGTGCAAATATGTAATGATGACAAATGGGTGAAAGCAACACACTATTATTTATTTTATTATTTGTTCATTTCTATACCACCCTTCATCCAAGGATCACAGGGCAGTCTGCACTTGCACCAAGTTCACGTATCAAGGGCAACCAGAGAAGCATTCTCTTGACAAATGCTCCAACATTCAAACTCTGGGCATTTTGGAAGCAACGGATATCTGCCACTGGGCTGGTGTTTGCCAGGCACAGAGTTTAGAACATGTGTGATCCTAGGGTATAGGGCGGGAACTGAACAGTACAAGTAAGTACAAACTTTTGGGCTGCTTGTTCTTCCTCTGCCGCCACCACAGGTTTGTGGTGTGGTGAACCAGCTTATACTCGAGTCAATAAGTTTTCCCAGTTTTTTGTGCTGAAATTAGGTGCCTCGGCTTATATTTGGATTGGCTTATACTCGAGTGTATATGGTATTATCCATTCTGAGCCTCAGTTGGAAGCAGGCCCAGTGTTTCAGTGCATTTGATGACCTCTGGGAAGTGGAGGGCACCATGAACCACTTACTTCAAAATTTCCCATGTCTGTCTGTAACCACCCAGGATGCAGCGCAACACACAGGATCTCGTCTTCAGCAAATCCTAGGGACTGGCACCGTGTGAGCATGTTCAGAGCAGCCTAGGAGAGAAATATGCCAGGAGCAGGAAGGTGGTGAATGATGTTATAGGAATTCTAAGGTCTTATATATATAAAATAAATGTTCATAAATGTACAAGGCAAACACATACATAAGTATATAAACCACGTGTCTGAAATAGTACAGGAGAACAATCCTGAAGCCATTTTGATTCTCCCAAATTGACCTCAAATTTTTCTCTGCGAGGAGGAAGGAAATGGGGAAAGCTTTCCAATTGTCTTTGGACTGTAGGTGCTTACAGTCTGGCAAGTATCTGTTAAGCTGATATCAGTATGTGTAAGAGATTCAGGAACTAAGTATTTACCATCTCAAAGGAATGGCCAGGCTACCCAGAAAAAGGAAAAGGAGCCCGTGATCGACTGGCCTAGGCCAATTTTCTGTACATGGGGGGGGGGGGCAGAAAATTTAGTCTGCTCATAGCTGAAATGACTAGGAATATATTTGAAATTTATGAATTCTGATTGTCTGGCCATTTCAATCATACATGTGAGAGCAGGTGATTCTTCTGCTAATGACCAGGGCAGGGGCACACAAAATAATGATAACTCACATTTTTTGAATAGATATATGTACCCCAATCTCCTGTAGATAAAGGAGGCATGTAGCTCCCAATTTTCTTTGCCTGGGGTACAGATATATCTGTTTAATACAGGAAACAAGATCCATGAGCACTCAGGCTTTAGTAGAAATTTAATTTGGCCAACTTTGTATTACAGTACAGTGGTACCTCAGGTTAAGTACTTAATTCGTTCAGGAGGTCCGTACCTAACCTGAAACTGTTCTTAACCTGAAGCACCACTTTAGCTAATGGGGCCTCCTGCTGCTGCCGCGCCACCAGAGCACGATTTCTGTTCTCATCCTGAAGCAAAGTTCCTAACCCGAGGTACTATTTCTGGGTTAGCGGAGTCTGTAACCTGAAGTGTATGTAACCTGAAGCGTATGTAACCCAAGGTACCACTGTACTGGCTTTTGGTGAAAACCTTTGAGTTTCTGCCCTTGGGCAGATTTTTTTTTTATTGACCCCTTACCTTCCTTGAGTCCCTGGTAAGAAAAGCCAATCATGGCTTTATTCAAATGGTAATTAAGCCAAGAGATGCAACGCTTTAATAGGCATAATAGATTTGCTGAATCATGAACTTTGTATATGTACAGAGGCTATACTAGTTGTTTGACAAAGTTATGCCCTGCACTGGAAACCTTATTCAAATTTATTTATATAAAATTGGGAACCATTGAGGGAAATGCAGTGAGAAGTACTCCTTTTGTGTGTTTGTGTAAAATTGTAGGTTGCCCTAAATACTATTTTTCTTACAACAATGATATATACATGTTTGTATGCAGTTTTGCCTAATATACACCTTTTTGCACAGCAATATCCCCTAATATAATGTATGTTTATGTAATTCATGAATATATGCATTTTTGTGCATATTACTTGGCTGGAGACCTGCATTGCAAAATGTGGAGAGGTATTAATTTTGGAGGGTGGCTGTGTTTTGGTTCATGCATTGTTTTGGGAAGTGGGAAGGGCTTTAAAAGCAAATTGAACTGATGTTCTGCCCCACTGACAGGAGTTAGTTAACAGGAGGCGTCTGTAAGAGTAAGGCAGGGCCACGGAACCTGTGATTTTCAAGATATTTCTGGACTGCAACTCCCAATAGCCCCAGCCAGCATGGCCAACGGTCAGGGAAAGGGATTATAGGAGCTACAATCCAACAACATGTGAAGAGCTAAAGGTTCTCCAACCTTCGGCTATGTTACTTTACTTTTTAAAGTAGGAGTGGATCTGGTTAGTGTCAGGAGCTCGTCCTACACTCAAGTAGGACCCTGGTAGAGTCACATGCCCGACTGGCATGTTCTCTCCCTCCTGGTCGATCATTCAGGAGCTTCAAAAGCTTTCTTCAGCCCGAACATCACAGCGACCGATGCCAACAGACATCGGCACACTTAGGGATCCACAGAGTCTTCGCAGCTTGCGTGACAGACCTCAGCAACTCAGCATTTTGGCTAATCTACTTTATTTACATATAAACACACACAGAGCACTGCAACATGGCTCCCTCTCTCTCTAGCATCAGGCAGCAAAGAGAAAAAAGACAAAGGACAATAGTCCCACTTCATGGAACACAGTAACACAAACATCCTGTCTCCGTCACTTCCCACTCTGTGGAGTCAAAACATACATGATCATGTGATAAACAACAATCCCATGACTGCAATCATGGAGCAGGAATTCTAACAGTTAGTGCCTGGATGGGTGACTGCCTGGGAACAACATGGACACTGCCTCAGCAGCATATAACAAATGTAAGAGAGAGAGAAAATACTGGTAATTATTTCTTAAATGTTAGAAATATAAGTTAACAGAGGCTTCCTGTTATTTCAGATTCTACAATGCTGTCAAGGTATGTTTTGATAGTTTGATATACAAAAACAAACGAAAAGGAGGAGGAGCATGGAGTATCTGGCCTCCAACAAGCTGATATCTTTGAGAACAAATGGAGGGCTGTGTGAAAAGCATGATAATGTGACACTTTCTTCCTACATGTTAGCACAGCTGCCCTTCATTGTTTGCATCCAGAAGCATACCTAGGATCCCTTGTGCCCTTCAGGAGGAGCTGTATAGGAAGTGTTGATTGTGCACTTCAGAACTGAAACAATACAGGCAGCCATGCCGTGGGCGGGGGTGGAGGGGTGGGTGGGCATTGAAACTATTAAGTCCAGGTTCTAAAATCACTTGCACTACTGGCAGATTCAACAGAAAGGTTCACTTCTTTTTTTAAGTGGATGCTCCAATCCACAAAAGCTTTTGCCCCTGCACCCAGAAGTGCTGGAGGCGTGCTTCTCTCCTTCTCTCCTCGACCGTTGCTGCTGCTCCCGAGTCAGGCAGCCTCCCGTTGAAATCAGGTAGCTGACAGGGACAACCCCAGCAAAAGCCAGACCCCGCCGCCACCGCCCAGTGCCACGGCAACACTGAGTGGCTGAGATGTGCTGCCGCTGGAGTCCTGGAGGGGGATGGGGAGTGTGAGAGGTGGAAGAAGAGGAGAGAGGTGCATCTGCTAAATCCTGCCTGGAGTTTGAGTCCTTTCTGGTCTGAGTGTGCCCCTGGCAGGGGTCAGCTTTGCCAACCGCTCAGTGCGCCCCTCTTTGCATCACCATAAAATACCTCTGTACCTTGCTGCAGCGGTAGTTGATGGAATGTCCCACTTCCCATCCAAGTAGATTTGTGATGGAGCCAGCATCACTAGAGATGTTGACAATGGCAGCTTTGCTGCAGCTCATTCCTTTCCGGGGGCTTTCCTGAGATGCCTTCCTCAGCAAGGGCAGGAATGCCTGGAGAAGAAGTGGAATGAAGGGACAACCTTATACTATGTGGGGAGACCTGGTCCTCCTTTATTATAATTATTATTTAATAAATTTATATACCACCCTTCATCCAAAGATCACAGGGCAGTTTACACTGTAACACAAAATTCATAATATTAAAATCCTAATAAAACTAATAATAAAACACAAACTTAAAAGGCCATAGATTGTTTAACAGCCAAAGGCCTGGTTGAAGGGGAATGTTTTCTCCTGGCTCCTAAAGGTATGTGATGAGGGCGCTGGGCAAGCCACCCTGGAGAGATCATTCCACAAACTAGGAGCCACTACAGAAAAGGCCCGTTCTGGTGTTGCCACCCTTCAGACCTCTCGTGGAGGGGGCACATGAAGAAGGGTCTCAGATCATCATTGCAGAATCCAGGTAGGTTCATACTGAGAGGCAGTCTTTGAGGTATTGCTGGCCTGAGTCATTTAAGGCTTTATAGGTCAAAACTAGCACTTTGAATTGGGTCTGGGAACTAATTGGCAGTCAGTGCAGTCAGGCCAGGATTGGTGTTATATGCACTGGCAAAGGAACAGGGGTGCGGGGCAAGTGCACCACCCCCAGCGGCACGATCCCGGTGAGGTTCCATCATGGCTGCCCCCCCCACACTGGGTGCCACACCCCCGGGAC